CATGTGTGGGCGTGTGCATGTATGCATGTGTGGGCGTGTGCATGTATGCATGTGTGGGCGTGTGCATGTATGCATGTGTGGGCGTGTGCATGTATGCATGTGTGGGCGTGTGCATGTATGCATGTGTGGGCGTGTGCATGTATGCATGTGTGGGCGTGTGCATGTATGCATGTGTGGGCGTGTGCATGTATGCATGTGTGGGCGTGTGCATGTATGCATGTGTGGGCGTGTGCATGTATGCATGTGTGGGCGTGTGCATGTATGCATGTGTGGGCGTGTGCATGTATGCATGTGTGGGCGTGTGCATGTATGCATGTGTGGGCGTGTGCATGTATGCATGTGTGGGCGTGTGCATGTATGCATGTGTGGGCGTGTGCATGTATGCATGTGTGGGCGTGTGCATGTATGCATGTGTGGGCGTGTGCATGTATGCATGTGTGGGCGTGTGCATGTATGCATGTGTGGGCGTGTGCATGTATGCATGTGTGGGCGTGTGCATGTATGCATGTGTGGGCGTGTGCATGTATGCATGTGTGGGCGTGTGCATGTATGCATGTGTGGGCGTGTGCATGTATGCATGTGTGGGCGTGTGCATGTATGCATGTGTGGGCGTGTGCATGTATGCATGTGTGGGCGTGTGCATGTATGCATGTGTGGGCGTGTGCATGTATGCATGTGTGGGCGTGTGCATGTATGCATGTGTGGGCGTGTGCATGTATGCATGTGTGGGCGTGTGCATGTATGCATGTGTGGGCGTGTGCATGTATGCATGTGTGGGCGTGTGCATGTATGCATGTGTGGGCGTGTGCATGTATGCATGTGTGGGCGTGTGCATGTATGCATGTGTGGGCGTGTGCATGTATGCATGTGTGGGCGTGTGCATGTATGCATGTGTGGGCGTGTGCATGTATGCATGTGTGGGCGTGTGCATGTATGCATGTGTGGGCGTGTGCATGTATGCATGTGTGGGCGTGTGCATGTATGCATGTGTTGGGCGTGTGCATGTATGCATGTGTGGGCGTGTGCATGTATGCATGTGTGGGCGTGTGCATGTATGCATGTGTGGGCGTGTGCATGTATGCATGTGTGGGCGTGTGCATGTATGCATGTGTGGGCGTGTGCATGTATGCATGTGTGGGCGTGTGCATGTATGCATGTGTGGGCGTTGTGCATGTATGCATGTGTGGGCGTGTGCATGTATGCATGTGTGGGCGTGTGCATGTATGCATGTGTGGGCGTGTGCATGTATGCATGTGTGGGGCGTGTGCATGTATGCATGTGTGGGCGTGTGCATGTATGCATGTGTGGGCGTGTGCATGTATGCATGTGTGGGCGTGTGCATGTATGCATGTGTGGGCGTGTGCATGTATGCATGTGTGGGCGTGTGCATGTATGCATGTGTGGGCGTGTGCATGTATGCATGTGTGGGCGTGTGCATGTATGCATGTGTGGGCGTGTGCATGTATGCATGTGTGGGCGTGTGCATGTATGCATGTGTGGGCGTGTGCATGTATGCATGTGTGGGCGTGTGCATGTATGCATGTGTGGGCGTGTGCATGTATGCATGTGTGGGCGTGTGCATGTATGCATGTGTGGGCGTGTGCATGTATGCATGTGTGGGCGTGTGCATGTATGCATGTGTGGGCGTGTGCATGTATGCATGTGTGGGCGTGTGCATGTATGCATGTGTGGGCGTGTGCATGTATGCATGTGTGGGCGTGTGCATGTATGCATGTGTGGGCGTGTGCATGTATGCATGTGTGGGGCGTGTGCATGTATGCATGTGTGGGCGTGTGCATGTATGCATGTGTGGGCGTGTGCATGTATGCATGTGTGGGCGTGTGCATGTATGCATGTGTGGCGTGTGCATGTATGCATGTGTGGGCGTGTGCATGTATGCATGTGTGGGCGTGTGCATGTATGCATGTGTGGGGCGTGTGCATGTATGCATGTGTGGGCGTGTGCATGTATGCATGTGTGGGCGTGTGCATGTATGCATGTGTGGGCGTGTGCATGTATGCATGTGTGGGCGTGTGCATGTATGCATGTGTGGGCGTGTGCATGTATGCATGTGTGGGCGTGTGCATGTATGCATGTGTGGGCGTGTGCATGTATGCATGTGTGGGCGTGTGCATGTATGCATGTGTGGGCGTGTGCATGTATGCATGTGTGGGCGTGTGCATGTATGCATGTGTGGGCGTGTGCATGTATGCATGTGTGGGCGTGTGCATGTATGCATGTGTGGGCGTGTGCATGTATGCATGTGTGGGCGTGTGCATGTATGCATGTGTGGGCGTGTGCATGTATGCATGTGTGGGCGTGTGCATGTATGCATGTGTGGGCGTGTGCATGTATGCATGTGTGGGCGTGTGCATGTATGCATGTGTGGGCGTGTGCATGTATGCATGTGTGGGCGTGTGCATGTATGCATGTGTGGGCGTGTGCATGTATGCATGTGTGGGCGTGTGCATGTATGCATGTGTGGGCGTGTGCATGTATGCATGTGTGGGCGTGTGCATGTATGCATGTGTGGGCGTGTGCATGTATGCATGTGTGGGCGTGTGCATGTATGCATGTGTGGGCGTGTGCATGTATGCATGTGTGGGCGTGTGCATGTATGCATGTGTGGGCGTGTGCATGTATGCATGTGTGGGGCGTGTGCATGTATGCATGTGTGGGCGTGTGCATGTATGCATGTGTGGGCGTGTGCATGTATGCATGTGTGGGCGTGTGCATGTATGCATGTGTGGGCGTGTGCATGTATGCATGTGTGGGCGTGTGCATGTATGCATGTGTGGGCGTGTGCATGTATGCATGTGTGGGCGTGTGCATGTATGCATGTGTGGGCGTGTGCATGTATGCATGTGTGGGCGTGTGCATGTATGCATGTGTGGGCGTGTGCATGTATGCATGTGTGGGCGTGTGCATGTATGCATGTGTGGGCGTGTGCATGTATGCATGTGTGGGCGTGTGCATGTATGCATGTGTGGGCGTGTGCATGTATGCATGTGTGGGCGTGTGCATGTATGCATGTGTGGGCGTGTGCATGTATGCATGTGTGGGCGTGTGCATGTATGCATGTGTGGGCGTGTGCATGTATGCATGTGTGGGCGTGTGCATGTATGCATGTGTGGGCGTGTGCATGTATGCATGTGTGGGCGTGTGCATGTATGCATGTGTGGGCGTGTGCATGTATGCATGTGTGGGCGTGTGCATGTATGCATGTGTGGGCGTGTGCATGTATGCATGTGTGGGCGTGTGCATGTATGCATGTGTGGGCGTGTGCATGTATGCATGTGTGGGCGTGTGCATGTATGCATGTGTGGGCGTGTGCATGTATGCATGTGTGGGCGTGTGCATGTATGCATGTGTGGGCGTGTGCATGTATGCATGTGTGGGCGTGTGCATGTATGCATGTGTGGGCGTGTGCATGTATGCATGTGTGGGCGTGTGCATGTATGCATGTGTGGGCGTGTGCATGTATGCATGTGTGGGCGTGTGCATGTATGCATGTGTGGGCGTGTGCATGTATGCATGTGTGGGCGTGTGCATGTATGCATGTGTGGGCGTGTGCATGTATGCATGTGTGGGCGTGTGCATGTATGCATGTGTGGGCGTGTGCATGTATGCATGTGTGGGCGTGTGCATGTATGCATGTGTGGGCGTGTGCATGTATGCATGTGTGGGCGTGTGCATGTATGCATGTGTGGGCGTGTGCATGTATGCATGTGTGGGCGTGTGCATGTATGCATGTGTGGGCGTGTGCATGTATGCATGTGTGGGCGTGTGCATGTATGCATGTGTGGGCGTGTGCATGTATGCATGTGTGGGCGTGTGCATGTATGCATGTGTGGGCGTGTGCATGTATGCATGTGTGGGCGTGTGCATGTATGCATGTGTGGGCGTGTGCATGTATGCATGTGTGGGCGTGTGCATGTATGCATGTGTGGGCGTGTGCATGTATGCATGTGTGGGCGTGTGCATGTATGCATGTGTGGGCGTGTGCATGTATGCATGTGTGGGCGTGTGCATGTATGCATGTGTGGGCGTGTGCATGTATGCATGTGTGGGCGTGTGCATGTATGCATGTGTGGGCGTGTGCATGTATGCATGTGTGGGCGTGTGCATGTATGCATGTGTGGGCGTGTGCATGTATGCATGTGTGGGCGTGTGCATGTATGCATGTGTGGGCGTGTGCATGTATGCATGTGTGGGCGTGTGCATGTATGCATGTGTGGGCGTGTGCATGTATGCATGTGTGGGCGTGTGCATGTATGCATGTGTGGGCGTGTGCATGTATGCATGTGTGGGCGTGTGCATGTATGCATGTGTGGGCGTGTGCATGTATGCATGTGTGGGCGTGTGCATGTATGCATGTGTGGGCGTGTGCATGTATGCATGTGTGGGCGTGTGCATGTATGCATGTGTGGGCGTGTGCATGTATGCATGTGTGGGCGTGTGCATGTATGCATGTGTGGGCGTGTGCATGTATGCATGTGTGGGCGTGTGCATGTATGCATGTGTGGGCGTGTGCATGTATGCATGTGTGGGCGTGTGCATGTATGCATGTGTGGGCGTGTGCATGTATGCATGTGTGGGCGTGTGCATGTATGCATGTGTGGGCGTGTGCATGTATGCATGTGTGGGCGTGTGCATGTATGCATGTGTGGGCGTGTGCATGTATGCATGTGTGGGCGTGTGCATGTATGCATGTGTGGGCGTGTGCATGTATGCATGTGTGGGCGTGTGCATGTATGCATGTGTGGGCGTGTGCATGTATGCATGTGTGGGCGTGTGCATGTATGCATGTGTGGGCGTGTGCATGTATGCATGTGTGGGCGTGTGCATGTATGCATGTGTGGGCGTGTGCATGTATGCATGTGTGGGCGTGTGCATGTATGCATGTGTGGGCGTGTGCATGTATGCATGTGTGGGCGTGTGCATGTATGCATGTGTTCCATTCCACATGGTGCATGGATACGAGGGCACATGGCTCTCACCTCAGGCCCCACATGTCGCTCCAGAAAGCTCCGCACACTGAGAAAGAGAGGGACGGGTACAGAGGGGAGGATGAGGCATGGGGGCATGAGTGGCATGAGATCATGAGGGCATGCGTTCAGGAAATGCACATAGATCGCTCAACTGTCACTGTTAGCACACCATTCCACCTCGCCCCACGACAGCCCCACACCATTCCACCACATCTCCCCCCATCCAACCACCCCTCCCCACCCCCGCCCCCTCCATCACTACGCCAGCCCACTTCTCTCCTTCTCTCAAGCACCCATCCACTCCCGCCCTGTTCCTCCCCCTCCCGTGGTCCTCCTTCCTTGCTTTTGAGTCGACTCAAAAGCTGTTGCTCCCCCTCCCGTGGTCCACCTCCCTTGCTCCCCTTGCCATGAGCGCACCTCTCCTCATCAGCATTGGACCCAGGCGGCAGTCGCTTCCACAGCAGCGGCTCCGCTAGCATGCGCAGCTGGGGGGGAAGGCAGAGAGAGAGGGGGAGATGTGTGTGAGGGGGAGGGAGGGGAGAGAGGAGGGGAGGAGGGGTGGAGGAGAGGGATTTGGAACGAGCGAGGTGGAAGCGGAAGGTGGGGGGAGAATGAGGTGGGGGGAGACGAAGTGGGGAGAAGAGGGGGGGAGGAGGAGAGGGAGGACGGGAGGGAGGAGGAGATAGAAGGGGAGTGGGAAAGAGAGAGAGGAGGGAGAGGGGAGTGACAAGGAAGGGAGAAGGGGAAAACTAGAACTAGTGGCCTAAAAAGGAGGAGAGAAGGATAAACGAGTGCGTGCACATGAACTTAGAATCACGAGCGAGAGGGAGAAGGGAGGGGGGTTGAAAGGGGGGAGGTGGTCGGTCATGCAACCGCCATACATGTCATTCTCCCACGGAGGCACCCAAGCGCCCATACCCCCATGCACGCACCCAGACACCCACCCACCCATGCCCCCATGCCCCCCATATCATGGCCCCCATATCATGCCCCCCATATCATGCCCCCCATATCATGCCCCCCATATCATGCCCCCCATATCATGCCCCCCATATCATGGCCCCCCATGTTTCCCATTCGCATGTGGTGCACCCAGGAGCACCTTGGCAGGGAGGGAGAGCAGTGGCGTGGTGAGGAACTCTGGCAGACTGCCCGGGAGCTGCCATGGGGACAGAAGGGCAAGGGGGGAAGGGAGGGCAAGGGGGCATGGGGCGGCAAGAGGGACAAGGGTGCAGGGGGGACAGGATGAGCAAGGGGGGGAGGGAGGGCAAGGGGGGCATGGGGGGAAGTGGGGAAGGGGGGGAAGGGGAGAGCAAGGAGGGCAGTGAGGGGGGGATGAGGATAAGGACGCAGAGAAGGGAGGCCGTGAAATGGCGGTTTGCGGTTGGAGAAACGGGTGAAAATGAATGTGACGGGTGAGAAACGAATGTACTGGAGATGATTCCAAATGAGAAGGTGGGCGTGATGGAGGGAGGAACGGAGCAGTGACAAACGAAAGGGGAAAGAGAAGGGCTAGGAAGGGCGATGAATGGGAAGTACTGCGAAGGTAAGTACTGTGCAGGAACCAACAGGGAGCTGGCTGCTGTTTTGTGCACTTTCATCCCATGCCCTCTTCCTTTCCCTTCCCCTGAGTGCCCCTCCCATGCCCATCACCATCACCATCACCATCACCATCACCATCACCATGGGCATGGGCACCCACCAGTGTAGGCTTGCCATTCTTCACAATGTAACGCTTGGACTGCTCCTGGGGCTGGTACCATGAGCATATGCGGCACACATGCACATGCATCCACATGGGCACACGTGTATCATGCACACACGTACACCATGCCACATGCACATGTACACGCACACGCACGAACACACACACACACGAACATGTGCGTGCAAGCGCACACATACACACACAAACATGGTGGCAGATGCACATGCAGATGCATAAGAAAGCTCATGCACATGCACACAGATGCACAGACGAACAGGAGATGAGAAGAACACATTCAACATGGGCAGCATGTAAGACTGGCACGTGTGATTGATTAGCAAGCGCGATGAACATGTGTGATTAACATGTGTCATTGCCATGTGTTGCTGGAAGGTGCAATGAACCCACCCCCACTGCTCTCTCTCACCAGCACCACTCGGTCGTGCAGCCCCAGGTCGTCTATTATACGCCCCACTAGCGGCTCGTTCTCCATCTGCAGGGAAGAGGAGGGGAGAGGGCAGGGGCCGAATAGAGGAAGAGAGGGAGTGAGAAAAGTGAGGGAGAGAAGGGAGGGAGAGAAGGGAGGGAGAGAAGGGAGGTGAGGGGCACGAGGGAGGGATGGTGAGGGGGCGGAAGAGGGGATGGGAGATGGCAGTGTGGGGACAGAACAGCATGGAGGAAATACAAGTGATGGGGGTAGCGAGCGGTGGCACTGGCCAGTGAGTGGTGGCAATGCCAAACGGTGGCGCGGGTGGCAGGCGCAGCGCAGCGCAGCGCAGCGCAGGCACTGGCATGCGCGTCCAGAGCGTGGAACACGCACACTGGTCGCGGCGTGTTTAGAGTGGAGGAGAGGCCGCGGCTAGTGTGGGTGTGTCGAGGAGACTCAAGTCGAACTACAGGTGCACTGGCAAGCACAGTGCCCTGCCCACACACCAACTTCAACTTCATACACCCAGCTCTACCTCTTGAGTTAAGCATTCATTCTTTCATTCATTCATCCCCGCACCCATTCACAGTACCCACGACTCAAGAGATTTGCCACTCAACTGAATCCGAGCCACCACCAAGACGCACACTGCTGCTATCCCCCACCCCATCATCCCCCCACCCACCCTTCCTCTTATCCCATCATCGCCCCCCACCCCTTTACCGACCCCCCCCACCATACGCCCACGCACGCACCATGGTGTTGGCGCCAGCGTCCCATTGGAAGCCCTGGTGGCGCTGTGACCAGAGCTTGCCGCCCACGCGCGCGTCCGCCTCGTACACCACCACCTCCGCGCCCCCCTGCTGCAGCCGCCACGCCGCCGCCAACCCGCTGCAGAAAGTTGGATGGACGGACGGTGAGATGGGATGGACGGACGGTGAGATGAGATGAGATGGTGAGGTGAGATGGTGCTCCGCGCGCCCGCCTCGCGCCCATCATGGTTCCGCCGCGCCCACGGTGGCAGGTGAGGATGGGGCGGGAGGAGAGGAGAGGGAGGGGAAGGGGGAAGGGGGAAAGGGGGAAGAGGGGAGGGGCGAGGGAAGGGAGGAGGGAGTGGAACGAGAGGCGGAAGTGAGGGGTTTGTTCGGGAGGAGTGGGAAAGGAGGGGGGAAGGGAGCCGGAAGGCAGAAGCAGCAGCAGCAGGAGTGTCGTGCTTGCTAGTCTGCAACAAACAACTGATGGATGGCACGCTTTCAACTGTTTCACTCGCACACATGCTAGCTCTCAATCCCGCGAAGACTCGGGTACCCATGACGTTGACTGACGTTGACCCGCGTTGACTCACCTGACCCCTGCTCCAATGACCGCCACTCGCCCCAGCGGAGGGGTTGCTGCTGCTGCTGCTGCTGGCGATGTGGGCGGGGGAGACGTAGGGAAGACAGGCATAGCGGCGAGAGGGAGAGGAAGATGGAAACGGTGGGAACAAAGAGTGAGGAATGATGCGAACAAACGCTAACTCTCCTCTCATCGCTACCGCTAGCCGTTCGGGTGCAGGCAGCTATCTGGCCCATACCAGCCTCGCGCCTCCTCGTTCCTATACAACCATCTCCACCACCATGCGCCGCGCTGTGTGTATGCGCGGCTGGTGGGTGTGGGCATTTGCCTGCTCTTCACCTGGAATTCCAGACGGCGCGGCTGGGTGAACGGCAGGCGCCTTAGAGGTCTCTTTGAAAGGGCCTGGGCGAGGCATGCTGGACGATGAGGTGGCAAGCTCAGGGAAATGAGATAAATGTTCACGTGAAAATGTGCTGGAATATAAGCGAGAGAAATGTGCGAGGTGAAAATGTGGAAATGTGCCGGAGAAGTTATTCCATATCGAATCTATATAATTAATGTAACTTCAAAATCCATGCGGATGTAGCTCAGATGGTTGAGCGCTCGCTTAGCATGCGAGAGGTTTGGGGATCGATACCCCACTTCTCCACATTTTCGTCTGCTAACAGATTTTTCCATCGTGAACTGATTTTGCATTCGTTCCATCGCCATTCCTGTCATCATTTGACGTGTTCTTATGCTTCGACCCCATAGCATGCGGGGATAGCTCAGTTGGGAGAGCGTCAGACTGACTTCATTTACAGTATTCCTAGGTACATGGGCATATACATACAGTATGTACAAGAAGACCTAGAGCAAGAAAACAAGAAAACAAGAAAACAAGAAAACAAGAAAGTGTGAACATGAGGGGGACGGGACAAGTACAAGGAGAAGAACAGAAGTGGTTACAAAACAGAGAGGACTGAAAGGACGGAAACAGCAACAAAAGGAAGACAAAACAACTTGAAACACAAAACAGAAAAACAACTTGAGAGCACAAAACAGAACCCTGTGAAACACATCACAAACAAACAACCCAACAAACAGAAACTGACCCACAAGACCAGAGAGGGGAGACTCACAAACTAGCAAAGTATCCCTACTGAAGAGCACCTACAAAGGTTAAACCCCCTCAAATGCGGGGGTTGTACAAATAGGCAAGATCAGGAACACCATCACTGAAAGCAAGGAGATCCGAGAAAGATGGGTCTTCGCTTGACAGCTCCTCCGAAACCGAAGGGAAAGCAACTTCCACCCTGTGACGTATTGCCCTGGCCTGCGCCCGCTGCAATGCCATGGAGATCCGGAGCATGTACGAACTCTCAAAAGCAGATGTGAGAACACTGGTCAGCTGCCCCATGGTCCACATGCCGTGCTGCTGCCCTGCGACTGCAGTCCCGTAGGAAAGACTTGAAACTGCCGCCCATACATCCGAAAGTCTAAAGTACAAGCGGGATAAGCTTGACTGCAGGCCGAGCGCGCAATGCTGCTGCGTAGTGGGTCTGAAGGTCGCGTGTTCGATCCACGCTCACCGCACATTTTGTTGTCTGTCAGCCTATCATGCAGCCCTACATGTTGAGGTATTCTCCCGTGCCCTGTGATCACGAAGCGAGAATTTGCATCATCTTCCAAACATATGTTGATTGTCTCTCATAACCAAACACCAGGTGGTGAAATTGGAAGAGGCAAGGTGTACCAGACTAGATGCGTTCTTCCAATCAAGGCAGCAATGGTTTCATAGCACTCACAAAGCCCACCCAGTTCTCGTGCAGGAGTTTCCAATACAGCAAGAACAATATTCAAAAGGCTAATACGGTACAACGGGTGAGCAAGCATTTCCCTCTACGGTTGTTCGTCATTTCAACTTCCTCCCAGCTCCAAGCATTGCAGCAATCATGGTTCTGTAGCAGTGGGATTGGAGGGAGGGTGTGTAGCAGACGCATGGGTGGGGCCGTCTGTAACGGAGGCATGGGAGGAGGGGTCTGTAGCAGAGGCATCGGATGGGGCGTCTGTAGCAGAGGCATCGGATGGGGGCACCAGAGCCTGCAGCAGCACGTGGCGAAGGGCAGGCAGCGAGGCAGCAGCATGCAGAGCTGCTCTCAGCTCCCATCCCCGCCGGTATGCACCCTGGTGAGCAAAGGACACTGACCGCCCTGCTTGGGACACGCGGGGTCGGGGATGGGAAAACGGGGGAGGAGGGGAGGGCAAGCGAGGGGATGGGTGGAGGGGGGGGGGGGGGGGGGTGGGTTGGTTGAGGCGCCGAATAAATGCTCTCAGCTCCCACCCTTACGCAATCGCCATGATGTCAAGTTCTTCCCCCTGGCTATCGAGACTTTCGGTTGCTTCGGAAAGACCTTTCTCCACTTCCTTCAGGACTGCAGCCGGCGTGGTGCAGCCCGTATCCGTGACTTGAGTGGTACGATACGACAGACCTTGTGCCCCAACTTCTGGAAACCAACTTCTTCAAGCGCGTCCCCTTTGTCCTTCAGCGCGCGCGAGCAAGCCCGGACCGTGTGTCGCCGTTCCCGGATTCGTCTTACTGAAGCTCCTGATTTGCTGGCATCCGAGGCCACCCTGCCCTCGGTGGCTGACTTTGCCTATCTAGGTCCGGATGGTTGAGCGCCCGTAGTCCCTCCTACTACCGTAGCTGTTTGTTTCTTAAGCCTCTAAAAACCTGTGAATGTACCCCTTGTACATATACTTGATTGTAAATGAAGCGGCGGGGGGGTGAGATGCTGAGATGGTGAATGGTCAGTATGGAAATCATTCCGAAATGGAACTCCAGCCTAATGCCCCTGTCCTTCCTCCCACTCTCCTACGACCATCCCCCTTCTCACCTGCCCCTCGCCGCCCAAGCATGTACTCCAGATGCAGACGAATGCCGGGCCAGGTTACCGAGCCTGACTCCACCGAGCCTAGCTGGTGGCACAGGGAGAGGTACTCCAAGGCCACTGAGAGGCGCTCCTCCCGAGAGGAGATTCCCCCGCTGAAGATCTTGGGGTCGTGTAACACGCCCTCTGCTGACATGGCACCATCTGCCCCGGTGAACGCCAGGTTGGCGGCCACGTCAGCAGGTGACGAGATGTTACCGTTGCTGAGCTGGCATGGATAGAAGGGGGATGATGAATCAGAAACGGCAAATTAAGAAAGGCTTTGGGAAAAAGAGAGGAAGGAGATTTGTTCGCAAGTAGCGTTGTGGAGGAGGGGAGGAGAAGGCAGGTTGAGGGTGCGGAGGAAGTAAAGGACGAGGAGGGCTCAGAAGAAGAGGAGTTACAAAAGGGCCAATGCAACAGGCAGAGTCAACACGCAAATGAAGCTCATAGGCAAAGCAAGAAACGTGGGACAAGCCAGACCCAGGGGTTGGGAAAGGTGCAATGTGACATGACATGGAATGGCAAGGACGTGGCATGGCAGGCACGTGGCATGGCAGCACTGACCACGGGGATGGCCAAGGCCTGCTTGACAGCTCGCACGGCTGCCAGGTCAGCGGGGCCCACTCGCCTTTTCACGGTGCCAGCTGGCATGCGAGCGTGCAGCGCGATGAGCGAGCAGCCTGCCTCCTGCAGCCCACGACAGAGGGCGATGGTCTGATGGGGGGAGGGGGGGGGAGAATGTGGGGGGGGGGGATGGAGGGGGGAGGGGGGAGTATGGAGGGAAGGGATAGTGGGTTGGTGGTGAGAAGCTGGCAAGCAACCCGGAGAGAATCCGTGCAGAGGTGGGGGAGAGGAGAGGAAGGAGGAGCAAGGAGACAAGCTTTCCCTTTAGGCTTGCTCATGCGTGCGCCTTGTCAGCTGTGAGTGGCATGGCGCAAAGGACCATTGTGCGTCCATGGCAGAGAGACGTGCAAGCAGAGCGCGGCATGCGGGTTGAAGAGCGAGAGCAGCCAGAGCTAACATGAGGCAGCTGCAGCACCAGCAAGACAGGTCGGGGCTTGAATGCGGGCGTACAGTAAATGGGTGGAGTGCGGTTGGGGACGAGGCAAGGTTGTGCTGAACGGAGGAAGGGGCATCACGGGTGCTTGCTACTGGCCAGTTAGGCGACGACCACCAGTTCTGATTCTGACACATGTGGCTACGGCACGGCAGGTGATGCAGGGACGACTTTTGAGGCGCCTCAAAAGTGCTACTTGCCAGTTAGGCGACGACCACCAGTTCTGACACATGTGGCAACGGCAGGTGATGCAGGGAGACTCACCTGGGGCAGGGAGACTCACCTGGGGCAGGGAGGGCATGAGGCGGATCTTGCAGAAGATTGGGATGGGCAGCTGCGATGCCATGGCTCGCACCATGGCGTAAACTAAAGGTAGATCCTGCTCACAGCGCGCGGAGGGGAGGGGGGGTGGGGTTACAGGTGGGGGGGCAAAGTAGCATTGGGGCAGGCGAGAGGACTAGTGAAAAATGGAGGAAGGGCGCAAGGGGCATAGAGGGAACCGCAGGGCGGGCTAGATTAGCACGGAGATACTTTCCGGGCACGTGAGGATACCGCCACCCTATCCGCCGTTCCTCACACCCCACCCCTCAGGCTTACGCTGGTCCAACCTCTTTCCCGCTGCATGGCGCCAGTGGTGGCCAGTGGTGGCCAGTGGTGGTCAGTGGTGGCCAGTGGTGGCCAGTGGTGGCCAGTGGTGGCCAGTGGTGGCCAGTGGTGGCCAGTGGTGGCCAGTGGTGGCCAGTGGTGGCCAGTGGCCAGTGGGCTCCACCACTGGCCCTCTCCTCTCTACACTGGTGGAGCGCAGCGCAAGCAGCTCAGCTCAGCTCAACTCAGCTCACCTTTGGGTCCACCGTCCACCCAACAGGACGAGCTGAACGCAACGCACACGACACGACACCTCCACCCTGGCCACTGCACACCATGCACTGCACTGCACACGCTACTCACCTCCATGCTCTCCCTACTCACTGACCCTTCCAACCACCCCCGTGTAGGCGCCGCTCCTCGCGAAGCACCCCATCATCAGAGGCCTCAATTGTGATTTACCCGATCATTGAGGAGGTAAGCCCCGTAGTGGCCCTGCTTGGCGCGCAGCTGAGGGCACCCCAGGTTCACGTCCAGGGCCACCAGGGGCGAGGGGGGCAGAGGGGGAGGCGAGAGGTGCAGGGATGGGGCTAGGCGGGGCGGTGATGCCTGTGTGCCACGTGTCATGCACTCGCCGGCGTCACCATACCCACTGCACCAGCACCTGCTGCTGTTGAAACTGCTGCTGCTGCTGCCGTTGGCAATAGTGGTGCTAGGCAGCCTACGTTCGACATTGCTGTTGCTACAGCCTTCACTGGAAGCACAGGGATAGGTGGCACGACAGTAAGAAGCACACAAGGCATGTGAGGCACAGGACGCCAGCAGTGCAGGCATGAGAGAGAGAGCAGCGAGCGAAGTATGTGCATGTTCATGTGCGTGTGCATGTGCATGTGCATGTGCATCGCAAGTGGAGGAGCCATCACTGCCACAGCCAACAATGCCCGCCCGTCTCGCCACCCATACATCCATCCCTGCCCAACCATCCTTCACCCCACTCAGCACATCACCCCACCCCACCTGCTGCGCTCACCACTTTCCGACCGCTCCCTGCCGCCCCTCTTCTCTCTCGTCTCCTCTTCCTCCTCTTCCTCCCTGCTCGCACTGCCACAGCTCTCACACGCGCCATAGCGCTCGTAGCCGGCGTCATCACGATTACATTCACGTTGCTCCTCCGTAGCAGCTGCTCCCTCTTCTCCTCTGTGCAGCCGCCCCTCCTTCAACTCCCACACCTCCCCCTGCCTCTCCACCCCTTCACCTCCTTCACCTCCTTCACCTCTACATACACGCCCCGCTTCTCCCCCTCCTCCTCCCTCCCTTCGTTCTGCCTCTGCCGCGTCCCCCGCTTCAACTCGCGTCTCATTCAATTCACATCGCCTTCCCATCCTCCCGTTTTCCCCACTCGCCTTCGTCTCTTCCGCCTTCTCCCCCTCCCCCTGCGCGCCTTCCCCCATGCACCCCGTGCGCTCCGCGCGCGCCATGTGCGCCAGCACCGCCCAGCCCGCGCGCACCATCTCCGCGGGGTCGTTGCCCGCCAGCTGTGCGACCAGCGGCCCGTCGCACGCGTGCGACTGCAGCGCGCGCGACAAGAAGCCCGGGTCGTTCAAAATGGCGTCGCTGGGCGATGGCGGCGGGGAAGGGGTAGGAGCGGGATTCCGGGGACGAAAGGAGAGGGAAGAGTGGGGGTTGGGGTGGGGAGAGGTAAACGGGGATGGAAGGAAGGGAAACGAGTCGTACAACGGACGAGCATTCAACATGCGTCGTGCGCCATGCGCCATGCGCCATGCGCCGTGCGCCATGCGCCGTGCGCCATGCGCCGTGCGCCATGCGCCGTGCGCCGTGCCTCGTGCGCCATGCGCCGTGCGCCCGGTACAGGAACAGCAGCCACGCAACGCCGCTCGCGGAATCTAACCACACTTTTCACCACGCACGGACCTGTGGAGCATCTCGGTGTACGCGATAGTAGCTCCGTAGCGGCGGCACAAGAGGCGGAACGGCAGGTCGCTCTGCCCCACCATGGGCGCGACCGCGTAGCGCACGTCGAAGCCGAGGGGTTGGGGTTTCCGGTGCGCACTCCCCGCCATGTTGCCTCGTGACGTTCCCTTGCGGTGCGCGAATGCTAGTAGGGCGCAAGGCGACGAGCGCAAGGAGCGCGTGAAAGCCTCGAGCCGCGAAGGTCGCGAGGAGAGGAACGTTGGTTCAAGAGGTTCGAACTTGAACCTGGGATTCACAACCCCATAATCCCATCCCGCCATCATGGTTACTCAACCGCCATTTCGTGCTCAAAGCTCGGGGCTTTCAAGTGGATCCCAGAGTGCAACACATGTCTGTCTGTCCATCACAATGAATCACAGAAGATAACACATCGCATACTGGGCTGCCCTGCAGTATGCGCTGCCAAATTTGATTTCGAACCCAACAGCAGCAATTGCTTGTCTGAAGGGAGCCACTTCATTGCGCCAACCCAACTACTTTTATCGCAGTGGCCAACAAGGAGTACAGAATTTTCACCCAGGTCAAAGCAGTTTCACCACCTCAGCAAGTATTTCTTCTCGCTCACCTCACCACCACCCCTGCTTTCCGCTCTCTGCTCTCGGCCCTCCGCTCTCAGAAGCTTCTCATGGCGCTTTGGTTTCCAATACAGCAAGTAGCAAAAGTAGACACAGTCGCCATCTGGCGATTGATCGGTTCTTGACCTCAGCGGAATTCTTGAATCCTTGTCTTTCTAGCTTCCTCGAAGCCTTTCTCTGAAGCAGCGGCGCCACACCCGGCGAGTTTGGCTGCGTGGCTTGGGGCTCATGCCTCGACACGCCAACGGCGGGAGGTCCACGTGGTTGGAGCTCTCGCGATGTTTCGTGATGATAGCGACGGCGGCTCGGTGCAGCAATTTGTGCTCCGAAAGACGAAAGACACCCAGGATGGTACTCCAATGTAGTATCTCCCGACGGCTCGAGGCGCGATGCTGCATATTTAAACGACAGACGCTGGGACCGTTACCATCGCATTCAACAGCCGAGAATTCAAGAGTCCAGTTACTGCTAATTCAAAATTCATTTGCCTACTATTAGTTTTCTCCAGCTTCCTTCCACAGCATCTGTATTTAGACTGATAGGGATTCTGACTTCACCAGATGGCAAGCCAGAAGTTACTTGTCGCTTCGCTTCTCTTCCTGGTGGCCGTTCTTCTCAGCATCTCTGACTTCCCTTCTGCTCACGGTACGATTGTCTTGATCAATTACCCCAGAACATTGAAGCATCCAGTGATCACATGATGTAGGAATGTCTTTATAGTCTCGTATTAAGAGAAACATTGACCCTTTTCCTCTCCAGGTGCACGAGCTCCATTCGCGAGCGTTGCATCCCCCGCTACAGTCACACGAAGGGTGCTTCACAGCTCCAAGACATGCACGGACAAGTACGAGTCGAAGCTGCAGCGGTGCGAGGACAAGGAGACGCAGTGCATCGACCGTGCGCGGGACTGGCGGCACGAGCAGAAATGCACGGAGAAGCGGGGCGAGTGCGAATGGGACGCGAATGATGCATTCAACGAGTGCCAGGAGGAGTGCGTTGAGAAGTGCGACGAGCAGCTGAACGAGTGCTATGATGATCACGACAACCATCACGACACTCGCAAGTGCGACAGGAAGGACCAGAAGTGCCGCGACAAGTGCAACTGAACTGAACTGACTGAACTGAAGCAAGGGAGGGGGGGAGCAACAGGTGAGGGAGGTGCAGCAGGGTTTGCTCATAGTGTGCCTGCTTTTTGGGTTGTGATGTAATGGTTTAGAGTGTACGTTCTGGTGTCTGGGTTGGGTTGGGTTGTGTGTTATGTGTGTCTGTTATTGCCTTATGATTGTATACACCTCCGTACCCTACCGTGTCTCAGCACGGCCACATTGGAGCAGAGCAATGCTGTTATGCATGCAAGACAGGGCATGCCTTGCTAGCAACACACAGTGCTTGAGTGGGGTGTGAAAGACTATGCAGGAGGTAAGGAAGGGTTGGGAATAAATTGGGCCCAAGGAGCACATGCAGGCCCAATCTGGCCAACCGATTCACCACTGGTACCGTATTCATAACACTAAAGACTTCTGGGAACCAGCCGCTTTCAACAAGATCAGGGGATGTTGCTTTCACATGCCCCTTATCCCACCTCGCATCTTGCCCCTACTCTCATGTCAGCAGCAGCATGTGGTGCTGCTAAGTGTCGACACTGACAGCAATCCAGAAACAACACAATAAAAAAAGAAAACCTCCATTCGTCTCAATGGAGACATTTACAAACTGCTGCCCAGTCCAGTGCCAACAGAACCCACGCAGATGGCTTCGCCTTCGCCCTACTCGTGCTTCTTCTTACTCCCCTTACCCCCTCTACTCCCCTTACTCCTCCTGCCCCCATCCCTCTCACCCTCCTCCAACCGAAACCCATCCTCGGGCACACCCCATTGCCACAGGTTGCTGACCACAATCACGGGAACGAGGCACACGAACGCCAGCGTCACAATGAGCGCCTGGTACAGGTACTGGAAGCGCGCAGGCGCAGGCAGCGCCACCTCCGCATAGTGCAGGGCTGCTGCGGCCACCAGCAGCGGCGGCACCACATATCGCTGTGTGCTTGCCCATGCGGCGTGGAGGAAGGTCAAGAGGCGCTGTCTGAGGTCATGGTGTTGTTGATGGGCCGATGGTGTCGATGTGGGTGGGGCAGCAGCGGAGGAGGCAGATGAGGTGGACGTGGAGGAGAGGGAGGAGGAGGCGGAGGAGGAGGGAGGGGGGGAGAGCAGGAGGAAGAGTGCGAGCAGCGCTGTATAGGCGAGCTCGAGGCGGTCGCGGAGCAGCAGAGGGAACATGCTGAAGAGAGTGACTGTGGAGAGCCAGCGGTGCAGGCGCGGGTGGTGCAGGGCTAGCATGCACGTGGGAAGTAAAGGCAGCAGAATAGACTTCTCGTGCACTGGGGGCCAGGGGGAGGGGGTAGGGGGTGTAGGGTGTAGGGGACAGGGCGAAAAGCCAGGGGGGATGGAGCATGGGGCATGGGGCGTGAGCGTTTGGGCGTGAAAGGACTGCCAAGGATTCGGGCGAGAGGGAGAGAACAAATTGGACAAGTTGTTGGTCTGTTGGTTTGGATAGAACCCAGCAGCAATGAGAGGAGACGTAGAGACAGGATATCAGAAGGAGCTGAAGCATAGAACACAGCCCTGACGCCCCATTTGAGAAGGAAATACAAAGGCATGCAGGGGCAGAATGTGCAGGTAGGTACCGTCTGAGGCAGGACCTCCCCTGTCTCTCAAGCACAGTCACGACTGTTCATGTGTAGTACACTTTTGCATTGGCGTATAGCTCGTACTACATAAGACAAAGGCAGTACCTTGGAAGGCGAAGAAGAAGAAGGCAAGGGAGGAGTTGAGCATGGCCAGTACCAGCCCGTGTGCTGATGGCCACAGCACCTGGTGCCATGGACACAGGGGAGTGATGCAGTGGGAGAAAGAAGATACGCGATCTAAGAAACAAGAATAGTAGAAGAAAAATATTTTTATTGTATTTATGAATATGTACATATATCTAACGTCCCTAGTCGCGCAGCAAGCAAGCACAGTGCAGTGGATGCATTGTGAAATGCGTCCGAGCTCGGCTGTACGAGGCCACATTCTCTTGCCACACAGCATCACTCCCACAGGACGAAAGAGGAGCCGGAAGTGTGCGCACACAGGGAAAAGGGCGAGGGGAGAGGGGAGCGGGGGAACGGGGGGAGGAAAGCAGGGAAGCAACGGGCATACGCGGAGGCAGGGAGGGGCACAAAGTGCAGCATGGAAGGCAGGGATTTCACACAGGCTCACACGCGATGAGTGAACGCCTCGTCGAGAATCAGATGAGGGGAGGAGGAGGGTGGAGGCGGGGTGAGCAGCAACAGAAACACGGCACGAGGGCAGGGAGGAAGGGGCGGGAGAGGGGGAGAGAGAGAGAGGGAGGGCACCTGGTGCAGCATGGAGGGCAGGGCGGCAGTGACGGTGGCAGCGAGGGCCATGCGAGCGAGCAGAGGCGTGGAGAAGAGGCGCTTCCACTTGATGAGCGGCGATGTGGCGCACCAGAAGTTGGCCACGTGGTCCTCGTACAGGCCTCGACCCAGGGGGAAGAGCCGCGTTAGCACCTGGAAAGAGGTGCGGGGGCGGGGAAGGGAGAAGATGAGGTCGCTTCCAACTGATGCTGCTTGCCCCGGCTGTGGGGATGGAAGCGGCACACCAGAAGTTGGCCACGTGGTCCTCGTACAGGCCTCGACCCAGGGGGAAGAGCCGTGTTAGCACCTGGCAGGAGGAGTGGGGAGAAGTGGGAGGAGGACCATTGCCAGACATCTCAACAATTGCGGTACAGGCCACGACCCAGAGGGGGACGAGGCACGATAGCATCTGGCAGGGAAAGGGGGAAGATGTGGGGAGTTGACACGAGTGGGTGATACGAGGGAGTGACACAAGTCGGGGGAAGTGGCATTGAATTCCATTCCCGGTGGTATGTAGCTGGGAGGTGTTTTGGCAGTGATGCAGCCCAGCTGCCCTGGGAAAGGTTGCGTCCAACTGCTGCTGCTCCCCCTGGCCACGTGGGTTGAAGAGGCACCCCAGAATCTAGCTAGCCAGCTGGTCTTCGTACAGGCCAAGACCCAGGGGGACGTTTGAGTCGACTCAAAAGCCATCTGGTCCTCGTACATGCCAAGACCCCAAGACCCAGGGGGAAGAGGCACGAGATTTGACAATCATCATCCTTGTACGGGCTGCGACCCAGGAGGAAGAAACGTGTTATCAACTGGATGAGGGGGTGGCCGGCATTGAGACGTCTTACGAGTGTGCAGCTTGTACATGCCATGGCCCAGGGCGAAGTGGGAGGGGGAGGGGGAGTGAGAGGAGAGAGCAGAGAGGTGGGAGACGAGAAAGGTGAGAATTGGGGGGGACAAAGAGGCGGACGGGGAGAAGGCAAGGCGGGGAGACGCGGGATAGGCTGAGAGAGGGGACAGATTCGGTGTTTCCGCTGCTTGGCATGTAGCGCTCTAAAGAGGTTGTTCCGTGCTGGTGTGGTGTGGTGCTCGAGCCAGACTTTCAGACATGTGGGTGGGTGGAGGCCTTAACGTGGTGCAGAGCAGAACACACAGACATGCGGGCACACTGTGCAGTGGACGACGCACAGCCATGTGGCTACACAGCCCTCGCACAGCCCAGCCTGCTCTCCCAAGGGGAAAGAGGCGCTGGCAGGGGGGATGGGCTGGGTAGGAAGACGAGAATTGTGGGGTTGTGGAAAGAGCGGATTTTGATGCTGAGGGTGCTGGAATATTCAATGGACGGAGAGAGAGAGAGAAACAAGTGCACCAGGAGGATGGAGTCGGAGGAGTGGAGTGGAGTGGAGTGGAGGAAGGGCCGCCAGCAAGCAGAGCACAAAGGAGAGTTTTGAATCCACTGGAAAGTGGAGCCCACACCTGGAGCATTGAGTCAGGTACTGAGAACACTCGTCTCACGCATGACTAGAGGCAGGCACGCGCACCTGGAGGGTGGAGTCGGTGGAGTGGAGGAAGGGCCACCAGCATATTGAGAAGGATTGTTTTGGGTCAAATGGAAAACGGGGGGCACCTAGAGAGCAGCACGCACCTGGAGGGTGGCGTCGGTGGAGTGGAGGAAGGGCCACCAGCAGAGCGCAAAGGAGAGCAGCACGGTGGCGGCGAGCGAGAGGAACATGAGCGCGGGGCGGGGCGACTGGCGACAGCGACCCAGCAGATGCGCGAAGAAGGCCGGCGCGAAGTAGAGCGCCATCTGGGAGCACATGAGTGGGCGGTGTGGGTGGTGTGGGAGGGGATGGAGAGGTGGGTGGGGTGGGGTGGGGTGGGGTGGGGGGTTTTGAGTTGACTCACTAGCCATCTTGAGTCGACTCAGAAGGCCGGCGCAAAGTAGAGCGCCATCTGTGCTCACATGAATGGGCAGGGTGGGTTGGAGTAGGTGGGGTGCGGTGGGGTGGGGTGGGGTCAGGTGCAGGAGAGCACTTGGCAAGCAGTGTGTGGGAGTATGACGAGCAGGCTGTGCATTGCTACGGCAGGTGATGTGCACCAGTGCAGTGATGTGCACCAGTGCAGTGATGTGCACGAAAGAGAGTCATACCACCCACGTTAGCAAGCCCGCCATGTCAGGTCAGGGTACTCTCATCTCATCTCACTCCCCGTCACTCAGTCCCCCCCCTTTTCCCTGTCACAACCCAACCCCCCCCCCCCCCCCCCCTTGCTTGTATCGCCCCAACTTGCCCCCCTCCCCTCCCCCTTGTATCGCCCCAACTTGCCCCCCTCCCTTCCCCCTTGTATCGCCCCAACTTGCCCCCCTCCCCTCCCCCTTGTATCGCCCCAACTTGCCCCCCTCCCCTCCTCCTTCCTCCCCGCTCCCCCATTCACTGTGAAACCAGCCTCCTCTTCTCACGCACGCTTGTGGTTGGCGGCAAGGGGTTGAAGAGGCCCGGTGTGGTGCGAGCATGGGGAAGAGTGGAAAGAGCGGAAAGAGTGGAAAGAGCGGAAAGAGCAGTGCTCACGTGCTTGTGGTTGATGGCGAGGGAGAAGAGCGCACTGCCCAGCAGGTAGTGCCGAGACATGACGGCCGTTGCTGCCCCTAGCGACAGCCCCAGGCTGATGCTGTTGTACTGTGGCGTTGGGGGGGGCGGGGCAGGGAGGGGGGAGGAGACAAGGGAGAACAAGGGAGAACAAGGGAGAACAAGGGAGAACAAGGGAGAACAAGGGAGAACAAGGGAGAACAAGGGAGAACAAGGGAGAACAAGGCAGAACAAGGGAGAACAAGGGAGAACAAGGGAGAACAAGGGAGAACAAGGGAGAACAAGGGAGAACAAGGGAGAACAAGGGAGAACAAGGGAGAACAAGGGAGAACAAGGGAGAGGGAGGTGAGAGCAGGTTGGGTTGGGTGGTGGAGCATTTGCTGCTGGTAGCGACAGCCCCATTCCGATGATGTTGTACTGTGGCGCTGGAGGAGGGTGAGAGGGGGCCGAGAGGGGAAGGTGAGGGACAAGTGAGGGGCAGAGGGACAGGTGAGGGGTAGGTGACAACGAGGTGTGTGGGGGGGGAAGGGGGGAGGGAGTGAGGGTTTGAGGGAATGAGAATGGGGCAGGATGGGTGAGGGAAGAGAGGGGGGCGTACGTTGCGGGATATGTGTAAGCGGATACAGACAGGTACGTGCGTGGGCACGTGGAGTGCAGGACTCGCACGTGGAGTGCAGGACTCGCACGTGCGTGGACTCCAGGGCGTAGTAGGGTAGGAGAGTGAGAGATCAGGCACCTGGAATTGCCCGTACCACTTTCAAACTGCCTCCAAAAAAATAGTACAACAAGCATACCTGAAGGCAATATTGCTGAGACGCCTCAAACAGAACCTTCTGAGATGCCTCAAGAGGGCTACGAGAAAGCACACCTGGAAGTGGCTGTGGTCGATGGGGATGAGTCCTGGCTGCAGCAACAGCAGCAGCAGCAGCAGCAGCTTGGCGAGCTTGTGACACTGTTGAGAATTCCCGGAAGTGACGAGCAGGCCTGGAGTGCTACGAGCATACCTAGAGGAGAGAGCGCAGCATACCTGGAAGTGCCCGTGGTCGATGAGTATGAGTCCCGGCTGCAGCAGCAGCATGGCCAGCAACCACAGGCGGTGGGATGCAGGGCGAGAGGCGGCGGAGGAGAGGCGGCGCAGGAAGGGCGAGCAGGCGAAGGCGAGGGCGGCGGGGAAGAAGACGAGCAGGTCCGTGGAGAGCACCGTCCATCGCAGCAGTGCTTTGCTGATGGGCGCGGTGGGCGTGGAGAAGGGACGGGAGAAGGGGAACGGGGAACAGGGGAGGTGGGGAGGGAGATGGCTTGTGAGTGGACTCAAGTGTGAAGACGAGCAGGTCCGTGGAGAGCACCGTCCATCGCAGCAGTGCTTTGCTGTTGGTAGGGTGTGGGGTGAGCATGAAGAAAGGGCGGGATGCGGGAAGGTGCGGAGTGGGGGAGTGGGGGAATAAGGGGGGGAATGGGGGAGTGGGGAAGAGAGACAGCTTTTGAGTGAACTCAGTTGTCATGGCGACGAGGAGGTCCGTGGAGAGGGCGCAGAGGGGAGAGAGAGGGTGGGCATGCTGGCGTTGGGTGAGTGTGTGTGTGTGTGTGTGTGTCTGTGTGCGGTGTAAGAAGGGGTGACACCTTGGAAGGGAGCAGCACTTGTGGGCTGACAAAGAAAAACCATTATCCTCTCGCAAAACTCCCAAACCCAATCCTCACTCTTCCCCCTCTCCCCCTACTCGCTCTCCCTTCTCCCCTCCCCTTCCCCCTCCAACCATCCTCACTTCCCGTTCCCCCTCCATTCTCTCCACTCCCCTCACCCCTCCCCTCCTTTCCCCCTTCTCTCCTCCCCTCTCCCCTCCCCCCTCCTCTCTCCCCATTCCTCGCACCTGTAATCCGACTCATGTCCTCGCGACGACCCCAGAGCAACAGCATCGGGGCACAGGCGGTGCATCACCCAGCCGTGCATGCGGTTCTGCCATGAAGTGAGCGGGGGGTAGTCCAGCCCCCACCAGGCCAGGCCATTGCCCCAATTCCTCCCCTCCTCTCTCCATCAACCCCCACTCTCCCTCTCCTTCCTCCTCTCCTCCACCTCCCCTCCCCTCTTCACTCCATTCTCCCTTCCCCCTCCCCTCTTCCTCCCACGCCCACCTGTAATCCGACTCATATCCTCGCGACGACCCCAGAGCAACAGCATCAGGGCACAGGACGTGCATCACCCAGCCGTGCATGCGGCTCTGCCACGCGGTGAGCGGGGGGTAGTCCAGCCCCCACCACGCCAGGTCGTTGCTGGTGGAGTTGTGGTACCAGAGCGCAGGCGGCAGGTGCAACGTGATCTCCATCCAGTGCCGCTGTGCCTCGTAGTCGCCGTACTTTGGCGGGGTGTGCATGCCTGGAAAGGGGAGAGAGGGGGGGGGGGGGATGGGGAGGGGGGTGGAAGGGGGAGCAGGAACGGAGGAGTGGGGGGAGCGGGAAGGAGGAAGGGGTGGAGGAAAAGGGGGAGGTGGAAAGGGGAGGAGGAAGATTGAACGGCGTGAGGAGTTGGGCGGACAGGACATGTTTCGGTACCAGAGAGCGGGCGGCAGGTGCAACGTGATCTCCATCCAGTGCCGCTGTGCCTCGTAGTCGCCGTACTTTGGCGGGGTGTGCATGCCTGGGGGGGGGAAGTGGGGAGAGAAAGGGTAAGGGGGAAGGGGGAAAAGGGGGCGGAAGGGGACCGGAAAGGGGAGAAGGGAGTGGGGAACGGAGAAGGAGAGGGGGCGGGAGGAGGAAGGGGAGGAAAACAAGGAGGGGGAAAGGGAGGATGGTGTGAGGAGTTGAGTGGTGAGTTGTGGTACCAGAGAGAAGGCAGGGAGGTGCAGCGTGATCTCCATCCAGTGCCTCTGCGCCTCGTAGTCGCCGTACTTTGGCGGGTGTGCATGCCTGGGGGGGAGGTGGGAAGAGAGGGGGGCGAGAGAGCGAAGAGGAAAGGGGGAGAAATGGGGAAGAGGAAGGGGATGGAGGAAGGGGGAGGAGAAAGGAGGGAACGGTGTGAGGGACAAGGGATGGAGCGAGGGGGGAAGCGGGGACGGGATAAAGGGGGACGAGGAGGAAGAGTGAGGGCAGCGCTGGGTTGAGGCGAGGGACAGGCGGGAGATGGGGGGCGGGGGGGGGACGAGGAGCGTGGATAGTGGGGTGGAGAGGGGAGGAGGGTAGGAGGAAGGGTGGCCTGGCAAGGCAAAGCAAAGCAGAGAAGAGCAGAGCCGGTGGCACAAAGAGGGGAGAGAGTGGAACAACGCTGCAGGAACGCGACGAGGAGAAAAGGTGCTGGCGGAATGCCACATCCACATGCGCGGGCCCAGCAGCAGCAGCAGCAGCACTGGCCTACCCGAGTATGGGTGCAGTCCGGTGCAGAGGCGCACCAACACGGCGAATCCCATCACCAGCGCGCACGCGCCCCACCACATCCGCGCCGCTCGTTTGCTCCCGCCGCCCCCCCCCGCCTCGCGAGACGGCGGAGCTGCCGCCGCTGCGCGGACCGCCTTCGATCCTGATCCCGATCCCGATTCTGATTCTGATTTAGTTTCCGGCCCCGACTCCTCGCCTTGGTCGGGCAGAAGAAACTCGCAGAATTCGGCAAAGCGGCCCATCGCTTGGGTGGGGCTCGATCGGCGATAACGCGCAGCGAGCAGCGAGCAACAGATGGGGCGGGGATTCGCGACAGGAACGGCAGGGAATGCGGCGCGCACTGTATGACGGTAATATTCTAAAAGATACTCAATCGTCACATGCTTCCCAACCTCGTCCCAGCCTGATCTGATGCCCGAAAACTGAAGCTGTCACAGTAGGCCCGAACTGCGAAATTGAAGCGGCGAGAATTTTACCGCAACGCCTCTAGGCGCTGATCCAGGACTGTGTCCGAAATTCGAATTTTGTCCTAAATTTTCCGTCAGACTTGGGTGCCTGCCGAACAAGGCCACAAAACTTTCTCTGACCAACCGATATGCCCTTAACTTTGAGTGCGAGGGTTGCGAGGAGGTTTCCTAACTCCCACGTTTCCAAGTTATTCGAGCCTCTAGAGGGGCTGAGATGAGTTTACATGTTGTTTCCCAAATTGCTGGGTGGTACCAGGTTCGGCTCAAACCTGGTACCGAAACAAAACCGACACCTGTCGATCAGGGAAAATAATTCGCGAGTCGCCCAAAGCAGGTGTCAACGGTCGTTGACCCTTTTGACCCAATCCCCTCTTTCTTGCAACCTTCCGAAATTGTGTATCTTCGGGGTGACTGGCCTACTGTGCATGCTTGCTCCAAAGTATGACCCACCACGAGTATTATCGAAGCCCAATTTGCAGCACGCCGTGCTCCTCACGCATTGTTAGATTTTTATTTCGTCCTCCTTTCCCGTCCATGTTTCCACTTCCATATCCCTCACTACTACTAATTTGAGATAGATGCTAAGTGGTGACTCATTGACTATTCCGCAATCTCCTCCGCTCATCGCTTATACAGTTCTATCTCGTCTCAGCCGATATGGCGCCACCCGCGCACATCAATGACCTACCTGACGACATTCTTACTCAAATCTTTTGGCAATTCGAGCAGCCCACGCCTAGAAAAGCCGCGGGCAGCGATTGCTTGTGGGACTCCCACTGCTTGAGTCCCGCCCCAAAGTACCTCTCTGCAAACCTTTCAAACGAGAATGTCATTCGTGAAGAAAAGAAGACGCCGTTACCCATTCCTCCTCCCTCTGCGGACGCGCACCGTATTCTCCTCGTCACGGCCGTCTGCCGTCGCTGGCGCGGTCTCGCTCAGCGTTGCGTCTCCGCGCTTCTCGTCCGAGAAAACCTCGCCGTGTCTCGCCAGGCTCTCGCGAGTGCTGTCGCTGCCTTACCGAACCTGACCCATCTTCACCTGTGCGACGGCAGCGTCGAGACTCTCGACGACGCCTTCCTCGCTCACCTCGCGTCGTCAGCTCCCAACCTCGCCATCCTCCACGTCGGACGCAGAATCGCGGCGCCTGTGGACTCTGGAAATTATTCTGACAGGGAGGTCGAGAAGTACGAGCAACCTATTACAACCGCCGGCCTGGATAATTTCTTTCAGCAAAGCACGCGGCTAGAGCAGCTTGCACTCTACGACTTCGACCCATCTGTCGAATTCCCCGACTCCTTCTTTCAGCTGCCGCATCTGCACACTCTCGCGCTCACACATGCTTCGCCGCTCCAACCTCCCCGTTACCGGTTCCCGATATTTGCATCTCTCACCAGCCTAGAACGCCTGGAGATTGTAAACGATTACATGCGCCCTGATTCCGAACTGCTGGCGTATCGATTCGGAGATCTGGTACCTTGTCTCCGCGAGCTCACCCTTCGCCAGAGATTCTGGCGTTATGATGTTGGAAGCGTAGAACTGCCTATCACACTTTTAACTCTCCTCAAGAGTATGATACTTTCAGAGTGCAACTGGCTTTACAGCCTGCCGCCGATAGAGATTGGCCGCTTGCATGCCCTGAAGACTCTCGTGCTGCACAAGCTGCCTCTCGTGGCAAGCCTACCAGACTCCCTCTGCCACCTGCCTTCCCTCGAAACATTCCTCCTCATCCAATGTGGCACCACCAGCCGTGCGCCCCTCCAGCTGCCCGAAGCTTTCTGCCGCCTCACGACGCTCCAAACTCTCGCCATCGTGAAGACGCCTCAGGTGGGGCTTCCGTGGAACATTGGAGAGCTCTCAAGGCTGCACACTCTGTATTTGAACGGTCATAACCAGCGGCCGCGCTTACCGGTCTCCTTCACCCAGCTGACTTCATTGACCAGGCTTGAACTGAGCTTGTGCACGATTCGCGAGCTTCCCGAGGGTTTGGGGAACCTGACTAACCTGCAGGAGTTGCATATTCGTTCCTGTCCTCTGCTCAAGAAGCTTCCAGACTCTCTGACAAGCCTCTCAAGCCTTGAAACCCTTACGGTTGATGATTGTGTGAAGCTCGTCTCAATTCCCAGGAAACTAGACAGCCTTGGGAGGCTCAAATGGCTGGAGCTGACCAGGTGTTATGATCAGACTCAGCCTCCTACGTCTCTGCCGCTCTCTCTTGAGGTCTTAGGTCTTGGAAACAGCTACCATGTGGCTGATCTGCCAGACGTATCCTTGCTGCCTTCGCTGAGAAGGCTCTTTGTGAAGCTGGTTGGTGCAGGGGAGAGGATGCGTGTTAGCAGCAGCTTGGCGCGCGTGAAGCAGCTGGAGCTGGCGCTGCAGGAGGAGGCTGTGGAGCTGCCCTTCTCCCTTGCGCTGCTCCCCCAGCTGCACACGCTGGTCATGTGGAACGCGGGGAAGATGCAGCGGCTTCCAAGCGACATGGGATGGGCTGTGCCACAGCTGAGGGTTCTGCAGATCCACTGTGCACGGGAATTGAGGGAGCTGCCGGACAGCATTGGCGCTGCATCCCGCCTGCGCCAGCTGCACCTCTTTGACTGCCCCGCTCTGCACCACCTGCCCGCTTCCCTCACCCAGCTCTCATGCCTCCACCAGCTGCATGTGGAAAACACCGGCCTGCACTGCCTTCCTTCAGGGTTTGCACAGTTGTCCAGGCTGCGCAGTCTTAGCTTGCATGATTGTGTGCGGCTGCAAGGACTGCCAGAGGATCTCACGGAGCTGAAAATGTTGCGATACTTGGGCATTAGAAATTGCGGAAAGCATATGCATGGTGGATGGGACGGAGCACTGGAATCTTATGGGATATGTAAGATGCAAGGATTGACAGTAGAACGTGATTAGTGGTACTAATTTGCCACTGATACTGCTGCTACTGCTACCGCTACTGCCACTCTACTGAAACTGCAACTGCCACTGCTACTGCTACTGCTACTGCCACTGCTACTGCTACTGCTACTGCTACTGCCACTGCTACTGCTACTGCCACTGCCACTGCTACTGCTACTGCTACTGCTATTGCTACTGCTTCTGCTACTGCTACTGCTACTGCTACTGCTACTGCTACTGCTACTGCTACTGCTACTGCTACTGCTACTGCTACTGCTACTGCTACTGCTACTGCTACTGCTCCTGCTACTGCTACTGCTACTGCTGCTCCTGCTGCTGTTCTGCCACTGCTGTTGATGCTACTGTTCCTGCTGCTACTGTTCGTGCTGCTACTGCTCTCCCTGCTGCCGCTGGGCTCGTTGTGCTGTCATCAGCCCGGTCCTCGCCTCATACCCAATGTCATCCGTGGGCAGCTCAAACCGGCACATGGGACACGTGTTCCGCACGCCAAGCCACTGCCTGATGCACGCCCCATGGTACAGATGCCTGCATGGCAGCCTCACCACCTCCTCTCCTACTTCCGCCACTTCATTGCACACGGTACAGCATGCAGCCCCACTCTCCACATCTTCCAAGAGCACGACGACAGCAGGCAAGGCAGCAACAGCAGACTGAGAAGCTGGAGGGTTTCCTTCTGGCCTTGTTATCAGAGAATGTAGAGCAGACAGAGTGTTCCTCATGTTCCGCATGGCTTGATCGAGCTCCGATTCGCCCTCCATGATTAAGATTAGTTCAACTCTGATGGACAACAACCGCCGGCGTAACTGCTGTAAATTGCTTATAATCAAGCCTCTGTCGCGAATTTCTGCTTGAACCCCATCCTCTTCACCCGTGTCATGTTCGGTATCCTCCGCTCCGCGATCTTCGTCTCCACTCACCGGGTCTTGAACAGAAACCCTCGTTTCAGTCACATTGTTTCCTCGCATGTTGCGAGACAAATTAGCATCCACCACTTCGACTTCCTCCTCAAATGCAATGCCTTCAGTCTGTTCAGTCATAACCATCGATACATTCGTGCCTTCGTTACAAGCACATTCACTGCCACCAACAGCTTCATTCGTCTCAGCTGCATCATTGCGAACCTCCAGCGTTTCCTCCACATGATCCTCGTCCAATGCTGGATTCGGATCCCTAGCTTCAGTCACACCAGCCATTTTCGGGTCTCCAGGAGTAAATGCCGTCTGACTGGGGAGAATCATGCCAGAAGCAGACACCCTCGTTGCTGGTCCTTCTTGTGATAGTGGCGAGACCGCTACTGCTGCTGCTCTTGCATCACCAGGCAAATTGACGCGCTCTATGCCATCATCTGCGAGTTCAACTTGTCTGATATGATTCCCACCTGCATTGAAACGCCTCAGAATCCTGTCCGCAGCTCCCAAGGTTGTCTCAATATCTGTAAACGTGTACGAGGGTTCCGAGCCCGAAGGATTTGAAGCTCGAGATGCGTGAGAAGCAACATCAGAAACACAATTCTGAGTCAATCTTAGGTGACTTCGCCTGAAGAGTGCTGCAGCTTCAAATTCTGCAGCACCTTCGGTAGCTTCCTCAACAGGATATTCTCCTCCACGATCTGTTCGTCTGGCAATGCTCCCCCCTCCAGTAAAACGCCTCAGATTTCTTTCAGAAGCCCCCAGAGGCTCATCAATTTCCATGAACGAGACGTTGGAGCTGCGAGAATTCACGCCTGGAGAAGCGCCAGAATCAACATCAGATGTTAGTCTCTGATTCACTGAAGATAAAGCTCGTCCCTGAAGTGTTACCGCAGCCTCGGATTCAGCAGCACCCATGTGCGCTCGTCGCTGCTAGTATTGAGGTCAGTAACAAATTCTGACTCTTCAGACGACGGGTAGCCAAAACCCGACGTAGCACACTGCAGTGAGGCCTCTTTTGACGTATCAAAACTTTCAGAATTCGTCCCAGGAAAACCAAATAAGCTTCCTGAACATCGATGAAAAGCAGCGTCAGCAGCGTTTAAGTTCTCGACGAAACTGTAGTTGCAAACTGGACAAAGAAGTACGTCGAATTTAGATGGGGATGGCGTTTGGAAGCAGACGGTAAGACAGCACTTGTAGCACCGAAAAAAAAGGATGCAGCCGCTCTGTTTGCAAAGCTGCTTTGTCGTAGAAAATAAGATCCGCCTTATATTCTGCTAAGTAGCTATCCCGACTTGAGCCTTGTTCATACGACGAACGACCTTCAAAAAGTTTGAATCAGCACCAGTGATGATAGGTAATGTTTTGACTGCCAGATTAGCCATGACTTATAAACCATGACGAGGAAACAACCAAGCTACTTCAGTTGCTGATGGAACTATTAATAAAATAGGAGGTGAGAGGTTCCGGAAACCATCCTTGCAACCATGAACTAGCAAGGTGATGTTGGAGCAAGCATTCATGGTGTTTCGGACTAGCATTGATTACAGATGGCTAGGATGCCAGAAAACACCATTTGGGGCCACATGGTGCATTTGCTGCTGCTGTCATCTCTGAGACGCGAAACGGTGAACTGACACGCGAGAAGGCAATGACTAAGGGCGTGGAACATTTTAACGAACACGTCAAATGGTCGAATTTGTGGTTGCTTCTGGCGATTGCGAAGCATTTAGGGAAACCCCACCGTTTGACATGCCCAGTATTCACCCTCACTCGACCGAAAGTTAATGGTATTTCCCGGAGGTTTGCTGTCGCCTACACCACACTATCCAGAGAAGTGGGACAACGTTTAACTGCGAATGTTACCCCCGAGAGTGTTTTCCATCCCCACTCTACTTGCAAAACACACAACTTTCCGCTCCCTCCGAAATTCCACACCCCTTTCGAATGCTTAAACTGGGATCAGATGTTTTTTCTTAGTGGGGGTGGTTTTTAGTGGGTGCCCCATGTGCTGGCGAACAGAATAGCTTAAAAATCTCGCATCCTTCGCATCTCTGTTACACTCTTCGCATTCGCCAGATCCAACCGTACGGGCGACCGTTTGGCATGGTCGTAAAAATGTTCCACGCCCTAAGGTTGCCAAGCTTGCGAGAAGTTTACAGTATAGCTCAACCACAACCACCACAAACATTGTATATCCAGAAATAAATAGTATACAGATTTATTCTTATTGTAAACAACAAAATATTGCTTCAGGTTACGCCAACACAATATTGACAATGATACTAGAACGAGTCGTCTTTTGCATCATTTTCGCCTTGCCAGACAGATTCCTTCAGCAGGAAAAGCAAGGCTCGTGCATTTTTTACCAGCTCCCTCTCGTCAACCCCTTTCTTGATCACCTCATCAGAATGGCCCTCTCCCACGCTAAGGGTAATCCTTGCTAGTGGTGGCAATGCACCCTCGCCAACCAGAGCAACAGGAGACAAGAATCCCCCGACCACAAGATCCCTCATCACCTTCACAGCTGCTCCTCTTGCCCGCACACATGGTCTCTCCACCACCTCCACCAGTGCTGCTGCACTCCCTGCCACGTCAGCGATTGACTTTCGCCCATGTGGCCAGCGTAAAAGGCAATTCAGCAGGCCCATTGCATGTGCATCCATACCCTGCACTCTGCTTCCAAGGATACCTATGCCTGCCTCTGCCACCCCATGCAATATCGTATCCTCAACACGCGATGGTGCATCTCCCACCAAGTATGTCAGGATGCGAGCAATATCTGCTGCCATTTCGGCAGCTGCTCCCGCTTCAGCACCCACATCTCCACTCGCATCAACCGCCATCTCATAATTATTCTGTACTGTGCGAGTGTGCGGCTTCCTGAGTGCCTCCCTGTGTCCCCTGGCCAGTGACAGCAGGGCGGGCACGGCTCCACACTCCCACGCTGCATACACGCCGCTGCGATGCTCCGTGACAAGCATCATCAGGGCCTTGACAGCAGCAGCCTTTATTTCCATGGTTGTGGATTCACCCAAAAGCAAATCCACCAGCTGCTGTGCACCATCATGCACCAACCTCTCTTCGCCCACAGTATCCTCCCCTTCACCCTCCCCCTCTGCCTCCAGTTCACCTTCCTCCCCTAGCTTCACCTTTCCACAGCTGCTGCCGCCGCCGCCGCCGCTGCTGCTACGATCAGCACCACCACCCTCCATCCCAGCCCCATTATCATCACCACCGCCAGCACTAGCACCATCTCCCCCCTCCTTCCTCCCTGCTCCAGTGCCCTTCCTCACAGCGCCCGCTCCCTCCAGCAGTCCGGGGAGAGGCTTCACCAGTGAGTTGCTCCTGGCGGGCAGGCTGCAGCGCTTGTGCAGGAGAGACGCGGGAGTGGGGGAAGGCAGCAGGGCGTTGGAGGAGCGTGAAGACCGCAGCATCCTCGCCTGGGATCCTCCTCCTCCTCCTCCACCCTTGGGCCTCTCCACTGAACCCCCCTCGCCCCCGTCCCGGTCGCCGATCCCGCTCCCACCTCCCTCCGCGCCCCCACTCACAGCCCTGCACTGCACACTCAGCACACCCTGCTCCATGACGCTGCCCGCGCCCTCATCCGCTCTTACCCGCCCTGCCTTGCTCGCCTGGATGTTGCTGCGGGGGCTGGGTGCGCCCGGCCTGAGCGGCCTGGCACCAGGCGACGTGGACGTCACGATGACTTGAGACGGGGAGCGCCGGTGCTGCTGCTGCTGCGGCTGCTGCTGTGGGTTGGAGTGCTGGTTGTTGCGGTAGGTATGAGTGTGGTGTTGCTGGTTCTGGAGATAGTCGGAGGACGTGGATGGGGGCAGGCAGGAGGGGTGCAGGTGAGGGACGTTGGGGGGCATGGCACGCAGGGCGGATAGAGGGGCAGAGAGGCTGCGGCTGAGCATGTGTGGGGTGCAGTGGGATGGAGTCACTTTCGTGCTGGCGGATAACAATCTCCCCACTCCGTTTCCAGTTGCTGTTGCTGCTGCTGTTGATGATCCTCTGGCCAAGATTGTAGCACTGCCAACAGATGCTGCACCACCAACACCCCTTCCCTGCTCGCCTCGTCCCGTGTTCACGGTGGCCCTTTTCCCCTGCTGCATCGGCTCAGAATCCACCACCACCACCTCCTCGTTCACCCCTCCTCCTCCTCCCTTCCCACTCTGCAGATTGCCATTAGCAGTGAGCCCAGCTTTACCCAGCACCAGCGGCCGCACTCCCCTGCCTTTGCCACCAAAACTGCTCTCGTTCGGTGCCTGGTAGTGCGAAAGCTTCTTGTCGGGTGGGGAAAGGGACAGGGATAGGGAGTGAGAGTATTTGATAGAAGGAGAGAGAGGGTCCCTAGAGAGAGGAGGGCGAATGCTCATTGGGGTGCTGATGCTGGTAGACCGAGTGTGTAGCGGCGGTGGGCGAGGGGCAGAGGATGGGAGGGAGGGGCAGGTGAGTGGAGGCGGGAGAAAGGTAGGCCTGGCAAGTGGTGGCGGCGGCTGCTGTTGCTGCTGGAGTGAACCGCTGGATAGCATTACCTTACGTAGCTGCGACTGTTTGAGCTGTTTCGTTCCGTTCGGCTGCCCTGCCGGCTGCTTGTTGTCTGCCCGTAACGCTGCGGGCTGCACAGCAGCCTGGCCTCCTATCTGCCTCGCAGTCACCTGCCCTGGTGCCTTCTCCACAGCAGCTACCATCTGACTACTACCTGTCACGCAACGCCCCTGCGTGTCATCCACCTTTGGAGGAGCCTTCGATCCACCCTCTGCGTTCTTCCCGCTCACTTCCTCCTCCCTTGGGCCACCTTTCTCCTCCTCTCCTGCTTTTGCAGCAGCTTGTCCTTGTGCGCGCGGGGTGCTGCTGCTGCTGCCTGCACTTGCTGCTGCATCCGCCTGAGCTGCCATGTTAGCACCACTCCCGGCTCTGCTTGCAGCGCCGTCAGCACCAGGCGATGCCCCTGCTATGCTCCACACGCCCGGAGAGGGAGCTCCAACCTGCAGCGACAGCTGCACGTGGGACTTGCACCCGCCGTCACTGCCCATGCCACGCCCACGCCCCGCTCCCCGCCCACCAGCGCGGGCACGAGCAGCAGCAGCACGGGTGGCAGCAGGAGCTGCGGCAAGTACTCTCCCTCTCGCCCCTTCACATGGCACGCCGGATACCGAAGGATGCGTGGAGGGCAGGCAGCCTTCTGATCGCACCAGTTGGAGCTGGTTAGCAGCGGCAGCAGCAAGACGCTGAGGTTGGCGTGCGGTTGTGCTCGCCTGCTTTAATGTCTGCCCGCCTCGAGGCCCGCCTGCAGGCACGGCGGCACGAGCTGCAGGCTTGGACTGGCACGAGTCCTTGTCCTCCGGAACGCCCTCGGTGGGGGCTTGGCTTGTGGCTGCCTCAGAGCTGGTGACTTGATTGCTCGTCTTCACCTGCTGCTGTTGCGATAGCTGTGGTTGTTGCTGCTGTTGTAGAGGCGTCTCCTCTACTTTGCAGGAACTCTAAGTTGCACTAAACGATAGAGCACAGTCTTGGCTTTCCAACAAGCCGTCAAACACGTTAATCGCCCAAGTATACGCCGAGATATTGGCGTTCACGTGATTGCTAGTGCTCTTAGAAGCAAGGATAGACCTCTCTGGAATTTTGGTTCGAATGGACCATGTACAAGAAGATTCAGGATTTCAGTATAAAGCATGCATACAAGGCAGGTCGATTTATAGCAAATGCATTACATCGAACCGCACATGTAACATCACATCGCTACACTCGCGTCGCGAATGCGCCGCGTGTAACATTTCGGTTGGGGTGAAATTCGGCCACCGAATTTCACACCGAACACACCGAATTCGCCTTGCACTTGAAGGTTGGAATGTGGTGCCGCCACGTGGCACCGAAGGGTGAGTCTCCCGAAGTCAATCGGTGCCACCCCACCGATCCCTAGTCAAAGGGATCGAAGGCACCGAAGTGCCCTCGGTGGGTTGGGGGCATACCACCGCCCCACCACCGTTTTCTTCCAACACTCCCCCTTGCACCCAAGCCACTAGGTGTTCATACCAACACGCTCACGGCATGCACGGAATGAATCCTTAGGGAGTGGTTTAGTGAGGAAATCCGCGGGTTGCGCCTTGGTGCTTATGTATGTGACCTTGACCTCACCTCTCTCGACCACCTCACGAATGAAGTGATGCTTCACCTCAATGTGCTTGGTACGCCCGTGAAGGACGGCATTGTGAGTGAGGTTTATGGCCGCTTGGTTGTCACAAAAGAGAGGAGTTGGGTCGGCTTGAGGATGCCCAAGCTCCGCTAGAAGGCGCCGTAGCCATATTGCCTCCATGGCTCCTTGAGTGAGTGCCATATACTCCGCTTCCGTTGTGCTTAGAGCCACGGTTGGTTGCAACTTGCTTTGCCAACTCACGGCTCCCCCAAGCAAGGTGAAGACGTACCCGCCGGTACTCTTGCGCTTGCTTTGATCACCGGCATAATCCGAGTCGGTGTAGCCCTTAAGCACGATTGGACCGGCTTCATATACGATTCCCAAGTTGGGTGTGCCTTGGAGGTAGCGTAGAACACGTCCTCCCGCACGCACATGCTCGGTATGAGGGTTGCTTACGGCTCGTCCAAGTACCCCGGCGGCGTATGAGAGGTCGGGACGGGTGGAAACGGCGGCATACATGAGTGAGCCGACTAGCGAATGAAACCGCTTCCCTTCGGCTTCGTCGAGGGCGGATTCTTCCTCTCCCGGGAGGCAAGAAAATCCCGTGTCTAGTGGCGTCCCCACCGGGTTGCTATTACCCATGCCGAAGCGCTCCACAACCCCTTTCACATATTTTTCTTGGTGGAGGTGAATGGTCCCGTTCGCGCGGTCGCGGTCGACGTGCATCCCGAGGTAGTACGTCACCGGTCCCAAGTCCCTCATGGCAAACTCCGCCCCTAACCGTTGCTTGACCTCTCGAATGAGGTCTTTGGAGTCGGAGAAAAGAAGGAGGTCATCGACGTAGAGCAAAAGCACCAATTGCTTCTCCCCCTCCTTCAACACGTACAAAGCGCTATCACACACGCTACGCGCGAAGCCGTGTTGAAGAAGAAAGTCGTCGATGCGCTTGTACCATCCGCGTGGGCTTTGCTTCAAGCCATAGAGGGTACGCTTGAGCTTCCACACCCGACCGCTACCGTCATCGTACCCCGGGGATTGCCGCATGTAGACTTCTTCCATGAGAAGCCCATAGAGGAAGGCGGTGCAAACGTCCAATTGTTCCACCTCGAGGTTGAGAGATGCCGCTAGCGCGAGCAACACCCGAAGAGTGGAGGCCTTCGAAACGGGAGCGAAGGTCTCACTATAGTGCTCCCCCTCCCGTTGAGTGTACCCTTGCGCCACAAGCCGCGCCTTGTAGCGTTCGACACCTCCATCGGCTCCCAATTTCTTCCTAAGCACCCACTTGCATCCCACCAAGTAGGCACCCTTCGGCGGGTCGACGAGCTCGAAAACATCGTTCTCCTTGATCGATGCTAACTCCCTCTCCATCGCTTGCTTCCATAGCGGTGCATCCGGGGAAGCCAAAGCCTCCTTGTGAGTGCGTGGGTTATCGTCGCCGATGGTCGCTAGGCAAATCGCCGCACTCTCCTCATCCGACTCCCCAACGGCGACCGTAGCATAGTCGGTTAACCTCGTGTTGGGGCGAGGTGTACGACGCCCGCGAGTCAACGCCAATGGTAGGGAAGAAGGTGCGGAGGAAGTGGCCTCCTCGGTTGGTGGCACCTCCTCGACATCATCATCGCACTCCTCGTTCTCTCCCCCTCCACTTTCGGCTCCCTTCTTCACGTGCGGTGAAACCTCCACCGCTTCATCCTCCTCTCGTGCGGGAAGGACGACGGTGAGTTGCGGCGTTTGTTTCTCCTTTGTCGGGAACTTGTCTTCGTCGAAGATCACATCCCGAGACGTGACGACGCGTTTTTCATCCAAATCCCACACTCGCCATGCACGCTCGTTCGCCGCAATCCCCAAGTAGATCGCCGCACGAGCTTTCGGTTGCAACTTGTGGCGAAGTGGATCCGGTACATGGTAGTAGCAAAGGCACCCAAAGGTGCGTAGGCGGTATAGGTTCGGCTTCGTTCCGGTCCATGCTTCGAACGGAGTCGTTCCCGGTAGCACCTTTGTTGGCACATGATTACGAATCCATGCCGCTAGCGCACTCGCCTCTCCCCACCACTCGTTCCCAAGCTTGGAGTGTTGAAGAAGTGAACGAACGGCCTCCATCAATGTGCGATTGAGCCGCTCTACCGCTCCATTTTGTTGGGGTGTGTAGGGTGTCGTGACGTCGTGCTTAATGCCCTTGCTTTTCATCCATTTTTCAAGCTCGTTGCTCACGAATTCGCCGCCACCGTCGGTGCGAATGCACTTGATCCGCTTCTTGCCGTCGTCGCAAACGTCGAGCGCCCACTCTTGAATCGCCTTGGCCGCATCTCCCTTAGCCTTCAAGAGTCGGGTCCAACTCATCCGCGTCGCGTCGTCGAGCATCACTAAGAGGAACCGCGCTCCTCCCTTTGATGCATGCCGCATCGGTCCACACACGTCCATGTGAACAAGCGCAAGCGGGTCCTTTGCGAGGGGTGAGGTACGGCTACCAAATGGCTTGCGAGCCATTTTTCCTTCGACACACGCCGCGCACACGCCCTTCTCGTCGTTGCCGGCGATCACGTCAAATCCCTTCGCAAGTCCTTTGTTGGCCAACTCTTTGACCGAGTCGTAGTTGGCGTGCGCAAGCCGATTATGCCACATTTTGAGAGTCGCCTTGGAGCCTTGCGCCACGTTGGATGAGGCCGTTGTCGGATGCGTCTTGAGTTGGTAGAGTTGTCCGTTGAGAACGCCTTGCGCGAATTGCTTCCCCTTCCAAAAGAGGTTCATCTTCGCGCCATCGATGGTGACCTTCACGTCTTTCTTTGCGAGTTGAGTGACGGAGAGTAGATTCACCTTCAATCCCGGGACGTGAAGCACGTTCGTGATGTCCACCGGCCCGCCATCGACGATGAGACGCGTACTCCCAACTCCAACCACCGGTAGCGATTTATCGTTCCCGAAGACGACGCGCTTGACGTCTCCCGGAGCACCGACGTTGTTGAGGAGCGACGCCGAGTGCGTCATGTGTTGTGTTGCACCGGTGTCGAGGAACCACGCGTCGTTTGAAGTGTTGATCCCGTCACCGGCCAACAAAACGAGCGACTCCGTTGAATCATCCGCCTCGCCGGGTGCCGTGTGCGCGTTGCCCTCTTGGTTCCGCGCCTTCGATGGAATCCAATCGCTCGGCCGCTTCCGACATTCACGCCAAAAGTGCCCCGCTTTGCGACAATAATGACACTTGCCCTTGCCGCGACCGTTTCCACCGGACGACTTCTTTGCCTCACCGTTGCTCCACTTGGACTTCTTTCCGGAGCTCCCTCCGGAGAACATGGCGGTCTCCACGCTCTCGTTAGCGAATTGTCGGCGTCGCGATTCTTCATGGAGAAGCCGACCGACCACCATTTCCTTCGTCCAAGTGTTTTGCACGCTATCGAGTGTCGTAATCACCGTCGACCACTCTTCCGGAAGGCCGCAAAGCAAGGTGAGAATCCAATCCTCCTCCGTGACCGTTCCACCGAGGTCCATGAACGTTTTCCCGAGTTCCTCCACACGAGTCGCATACTCGTGCATCGATTCGCCCACGCGCAACTTCACCGTGTAGAACGCATTTCGGGCTAGGATCTTGCCGTGGAGAGTCTTGTTCACGTGCATCGTCTCGAGCCGCTTCCATGCTTCACGCGCCGAAGCTTCGAGCTTGATGCACGTGCGCACCGAACTCACTAGGTTGATGCCGATGCGCGAAATCAACGTTGCGAACGCCTTTTGGTCCTTCTTCTTCCATGCCGCGATCTCGTCCTCGTTGACCGGCTTTTTCCCCGTTCCGTCGAAGAGACCCCAAAGTCCCCGCTCCATCATGAGCACTTGGAACTTAAATTTCCACGCGGAGTAGTTTTGTCCCGTGAAAATCGGAACCGCCGACGTGTCGAACACCGTCGCGTTTGTCCAGGGTTCGCCGGGATTCGAGACGACACCACCTAAGGAAGTGCCGGAGGTTTCGCTTGACGTCATCATGCTTGCTACAAGTCGCGCACGTAGACTCTACCGACCACCTCTGATACCACTGTTGTAGAGGCGTCTCCTCTACTTTGCAGGAACTCTAAGTTGCACTAAACGATAGAGCACAGTCTTGGCTTTCCAACAAGCCGTCAAACACGTTAATCGCCCAAGTATACGCCGAGATATTGGCGTTCACGTGATTGCTAGTGCTCTTAGAAGCAAGGATAGACCTCTCTGGAATTTTGGTTCGAATGGACCATGTACAAGAAGATTCAGGATTTCAGTATAAAGCATGCATACAAGGCAGGTCGATTTATAGCAAATGCATTACATCGAACCGCACATGTAACATCACATCGCTACACTCGCGTCGCGAATGCGCCGCGTGTAACATTTCGGTTGGGGTGAAATTCGGCCACCGAATTTCACACCGAACACACCGAATTCGCCTTGCACTTGAAGGTTGGAATGTGGTGCCGCCACGTGGCACCGAAGGGTGAGTCTCCCGAAGTCAATCGGTGCCACCCCACCGATCCCTAGTCAAAGGGATCGAAGGCACCGAAGTGCCCTCGGTGGGTTGGGGGCATACCACCGCCCCACCACCGTTTCCTTCCAACAGGCGGCACGAGCTGCAGGCTTGGACTGGCACGAGTCCTTGTCCTCCGGAACGCCCTCGGTGGGGGCTTGGCTTGTGGCTGCCTCAGAGCTGGTGACTTGATTGCTCGTCTTCACCTGCTGCTGTTGCGATAGCTGTGGTTGTTGCTGCTTCTGGGATTCCTCGTGCTTCATTTCGTGCAGCAGCGACGGCGGACATTGAGGAGACACAGCGTCCTCAGCTGATTGCTGCAAGCACGCACTCCCTTTGCTCTCGCCGCCGCTGCTGCCCCCACGGCCTGGTGACGTCAGAACACAACTCGCAGGCCCGTTTGCGGTCAACGAGCTGCTTCTTGCCAGTAGCTTGGACGGCTGGCGGACAACTGACGGCTGTCCGGCCGGAGGTGCGGTAGGCTTAACGGCGGATGCTACGGCTGAAGCGGATTGGGCGTTGAGATTACGCCCGGCAGGGACTCGACAATTGGAATTCCCGCTCTGCTGATTTCCGTTGGAATATAACGCAGACTCGCGGCTTCTAGGGCTGGCGGAAACGGGAGGGGGAAATTTGAGGCCCGCGGAGGGAGTGGGGCAAGCGTGGGGGGAGGAAGCAAAGGCGGGGGAGGAGGAGGTGGAGCGAGGGAACGCGGCGGCGGAAGAAGGTGAGGTGTGTGAGGAGGTGGAGAGCGGTGGAGGGGAGGTACTGGCGGAAGAGGAAGACGAGGACGGGGAGAAAAGGCAACTTGCCCTTGACGGGAAAGGAAGAGGCGGAAAAGGGGTGCGCGTGGGCGCTGCATCCCCCGCGGGGCGGATTGTGGGGGAGAAGGCGGAGGAGGGGGATGGAGAGGGGGAAGCGGCGGAGCTGGTGGGTGAATCGGGGAGCGACGGAGACGGGCAGCGGCGGGGAGAGGAAACAGTGAAGGACTTTTCCAGAGAGGCCGGAGGTGATTGAAAGCTCACGCCGCGCCGGCCGCCGGGGCTGTTCGCGCCATGGCCGGCGCCGTGACTGTTCCCGCCGCGACTGACGCTGATGCTGAAACTGCTGCTGCGACCCGTGGCGCTAGTGGCGCTGCTAGTAGTAGTCGTTGTGTTACCGCTGGCGGCGTGCGACGCCAGCCACGTGGCGATGAGCTCTTTGAGCGCTATGTTCGGCACGACCTGCGCGTGGGGCAGCGCTGCGCCGGTCGCGGGGCAGGTCGCCGCCTGCGGTCCCGGCGCGCGCAGCCACTGCAGGATGTGCGCGCGCTCGTAGGTGCAGCCTGACGCGACGATCACCGGGTCCAGCATGACGCGCCCCGACAGCGGGCAGAAGAACTCCCGCGGAGCTCTTGCGCGCGTGGAATCCGCGGCTGCCGCGGATGAGCCCGTCTGGATCATGGCGCCAGCAGCGATGATATGCTAGGTTCCACTGGTTGTAGATTCTAGTACTACTGGAAGATGTGAAGCGATTGAGAGGTACTTGAGTCTAGCGGGTTAGGGCAAACAAGCCTGAGTGGAGATGCAATGCGAGGTCGATGAGAAGTACTATGTTCTCGAGTGGAGGAATCGACGAACAGTAGGACGGTGCTTAGCAGTCGCTGCTGCGTGGAGTTCCCGTTCCTTTTTAGTAGAACTAGCTCTACTGAAACTCTGGCAGCCTTAGACGGTCTGAAATGGTCACTGCTCGAGCCTCCCACCATGATTGAGCCAATGCCGATTTTGCAAACTCAGAAGCAAGCGCGAGAGCGTCATAACAGTCAGCAAAAATCAGCAACAGAAGGACCCTAACAACGAGTATTTGTCCCACCCGCGCGTCATTGCTCCTACTGGCGTGACGCGTTGCGTGCGGTGCTCAGACGCAAGGTCAAACAATTTGTGACCAAAGTGAGGGAGGCAAAAGATTCTGATGAGCGCGCTCTCGCGGGGTGGTTGGAGATAGTTTTGATCAGTCCGAACGTCGCGCTTCGCCTTTTTGTGGGCATTGATTTCCAGAAGGCAGGGGAAGCAAGGATGCTTTTTGCGACTGATGCAGTGCTGTGCTGCTGTTGTGTGGAGCATACAGACAGTGCTTGGGTTGTGGTGGAATGCCTTCGGGTTCGTGGCATTCCCCGTTCCACCCACATACAATGATGCGGTTCGGCTACACGAAGCGCATCCTGGTCGGCATTCGCCAGGTGCCTCTTTTACGACGCAAGCGAGGAGGTGCTGGCAGCAGGTGACTCATTCTCATGTTCGCCCATTCGCCACAAGCAATTTTCTGGGCTGTACAATTCGCCAACTCGTTTTCGCGTACCAGCAATCGTGTGTCGTGTTTCGTGACGGCGCACGACGAGCGTCGTTTGGGTTCATCAGCAGTGACACGGGTTGCTGCTGCTATCCAACTGTCTGGCGTGCCACATTCCCTTTCGAAGGGGCATGCAAACCGTCTAGGCGGAATCAAGTTCCGAAGATGTGCGGCAAAGGATACAGTTTGTCATTTCTTTTCGCCACTATGATTTCCAGGTGCATCAAATCAGGGCCAAGAAGCTAATTGCATCCATCCACAAAATCGAGTGCCTTTCAATCGGGTATATTTAAAGCCTGTAGTGGTATGCCCCAGGAAGTACAGTGAGCAAGGTCCGCAGCATCATTTGCGCTAAATATTTCGGCATACACCAGGTTGTTTCCTTCCAAGCGCCACCAGGAGATTCCCTCCCACTCCTTGGATTCCCAGTCTAACCAAGGCACCATAAAACAGCTGAGCCTTCGGGAGCCACCCTGAAAAATGTATGTGGTAACATGCGATCCGATCTCTTTTTGTTCAGGTTCCTCCCGCCACAAATGTTTGCGCAGTCCACGGAGCCCAAACCCACAGTTCTTCAGGATCTTGACTGTATGCGCCTCGGCGAGCTCTTGACTTGACAGTCACTCTCGATCCAGTTCGCCCACAGTTCACACTGCATGGGGCCTTTCCGCGACTACAAAACGCCGCCAAAATCCACATTTTCACAAAGCGAGTTTGTGTAAGCTCAACAAGTTCAGGGTATTTTTACTTCTTTCAGGCTTCGCTTTCCGACAGCGTATGCTCAGCGCAGGCATGGCGAAGCAAGCAGTGCTGGCTCTGTGCCTGGCGGCGCTGGTGTTGACAGCGAGCGCCGGCGACCCGTTCAATTCGTCGAACAACAAGCCGGTGAACGCGGAGAAGGAGAAGGCGGAGGACCCTTACGGGACCGTCTCAGATGTGAGCCCTGCCATCGTGAAGCAAGCTACGGCGGGCGACGCGACGGGTGTTACCGTGGTGTCGACGGCAACCGACTCGATGCTGTTCGCGGACGCTAAGACGGCCGGGTGGAACAAGATGAAGTGCCACGCGGAGCTGAAGCCTCACGCCGGCGCGTGCACGCCCGCCAACTGCAGCAAGGGCGGCATTCCCGCCAAGTGGAAGACGTCGAACCTGCTCAAGAACAAGATCGGTGTGGAGGTGTACGTGAAGGGTAACCCGCTGACGGTTAAGAAGGCGTCCCCTCAGACGTGCTGCAACACGTGCGCGTCGACCAAGGGGTGCACGTACTGGCAGTACATTCCCGACATCACGCTCGACAAAAAGAAGACGGACGGCGCGTGCTTTATGGTGAAGGACGATATCGACTACACGTGCGGCGAGATCATCGCGCAATACGCGACGGAGACGAAGCCCCTCCACCTGCAGGTGCGCACGGGCGGCGAGTGCAATACGGCGTCGGAGATCGCCAACGACCCGCATCTGGTGGGCGCGTACGGCACGCACTTCGACTTCAACGGCCGCCCCGACGCCGCATTCTGCCTGCTGACGGACCGCGAGCTGCACGTGAACATGCTGCTGCGCGGGTACTACAGCGACGACACGGAGAACGCGGCGCTGGTTGTGGACGGCAAGGCCGTGCACACGTGGATCAAGGAGCTGGGCATCGTGTGGCTCGCCGACGGCGTGGATCACAAGATCCGGCTCGCGGCGCGCAGCGGCAAGCAGCAGGAGCGCGGGTCGGGGTTCATGAAGGCGATCGAGATCGACGGCGAGGCGATTCCGCGCATGCGCGTGGGCGACGTGGTGACGTCAGTGGGCGGGCTGACGCTGACGTTCAAGGCGCTGGAGAAGGAGGGCCCGTATGACGTGGACTACTACACGCTGGACATCGAGGGGCTGGTGACGCTCGACATGCGGCTGCGCGTGGCGAACCCGAAGCTGCAGACGCCGACCGAGGCGGAGGCACACATCAACGTGGGCATTGTGGAGCTGTCGCACACGGACGAGATCCATGGCGTGCTGGGCCAGACGTACCGCGAGGACCACGCGCAGAGGGCCGCGGACTTCCAGAAGATGATCGCGTCGCTGCACCGCCCCATCTCCGCCGACGGCGCTGAGGGTGAGGGCTTCCTCGACGGCAACGCGCGGTCGTATGAGACGAGCTCCGTCCTCGCTGTTGACTGCTCCCACACCACTTACCGCCACGCCAAGAAGCTCAGCCCTGTTGAGTACCCCGTTGGTTTTCCGTAGACAACGAAAATGTTGGTATCTTCCCCTTGTAGCATTGTTTGTTGGTGGGCTGGTTCTGTGGGCTGATGATAGGTGGGCTGATTATTCGCTTATCCACAGATACAAGCGATTGTATGTACTATAATTTACCATAAACGGAACAATTGATTCCAGCTTACCATTTAAAGTATTTTATGAGAGGATAGCTAAAGACTTGATCCACAGACTAAAAAACACCTAGACACACAATAGGGCGATGTTATTGCTGTATATCTGATGTACAAACTATTAATGTTAACATCGGAAAAATGGGACAAAATAATAATTGAATTTTTTTTTGCTATCACCTATAATCAGCCCTCTTGTCGAACCAGCCCACAAGCAAAGCAGCCCACCAGAAAGCCCAGAAGTACAATGCGAACCAACATTTTAGTTGTCAACGGGTACTCAACCGGGCTTAGCTGCTTGGCGTGGCGGTTAGTGGTATGGCAGCAATCAACAGCGAGGAAAGAGCTCGCCTGGAACGAAGGATGCCACAATGAGAAATTGTCAGCTCGAATGACACAAAGTTCGTAGTATCTCCGAACACCTTGTTCCGAGGCGGTGCCAAGCGAATGGTCTGGCGGAAGAATCCATGGCGGGTCCATCCAAGTCACCGAGCATGGCGGAAGAATCCATGGCGGATCCATCCAAGTCACCGCGCATGGTGGAAGAAAGCCACCAAGCATCTCTGTGGGTAGACATCATGCACTCGGTAGCATCATAATCGAACTATTTATCAAATTACATTTCAGTCGCTTGTAGCTTTGCACAAGCTAAAAATCAGCCCACCCATCCGATGGGTCAGCCCACCTTTAGTCAGCCAACCAGAAAGTGAGAACCTGGAACAAGGAACCGACATTTCCGTCGTCTACGGAAAACCAACAGGGTAGTCAACAGGGCTGAGCTTCTTGGCGTGGCGGTAAGTTGTGTGGGAGCAGTCAACAGCGAGGACGGAGCTCGTCTCATACGACCGCGCGTTGCCGTCGAGGAAGCCCTTGCCCTCAGCGCCGTCGGCGGAGATGGGGCGGTGCAGCGACGCGATCATCTTCTGGAAGTCCGCGGCCCTCTGCGCGTGGTCCTCGCGGTACGTCTAGCCCAGCACGCCATGGATCTCGTCCGTGTGCGACAGCTCCACAATGCCCACGTTGATGTGCGCCTCCGCCTCGGTCGGCGTCTGCAGCTTCGGGTTCGCCACGCGCAGCCGCATGTCGAGCGCCACCAGCCCCTCGATGTCCAGCGTGTAGTAGTCCACGTCATACGGGCCCTCCTTCTTCAGCGCCTTGAACGTCAGCGTCAGCCCGCCCTCTGACGTCACCACGTCGCCCACGCGCATGCGCGGAATCGCCTCGCCGTCGATCTCGATCGCCTTCATGAACCCCGACCCGCGCTCCTGCTGCTTGCCGCTGCGCGCCGCAAGCCGGATCTTGTGATCCGCGCCGTCGGCGAGCCACACGATGCCCAGCTCCTTGATCCACGTGTGCACGGCCTTGCCGTCCACAACCAGCGCCGCGTTCTCCGTGTCGTCGCTGTAGTACCCGCGCAGCAGCATGTTCACGTGCAGCTCGCGGTCTGTCAGCAGGCAGAATGCGGCGTCGGGGCGGCCGTTGAAGTCGAAGTGCGTGCCGTACGCGCCCACCAGATGCGGGTCGTTGACAATCTCCGACGCCGTATTGCACTCGCCGCCCGTGCGCACCTGCAGGTGGAGGGGCTTCGCCTCCGCGTATTGCGCGACCAGCTCGCCGCACATGTAGTTGATATCTTCCTTCACCATATAGCACGCATCGTGCGTCCTCGTGCCGTAGAGCGTGGTGCCGGGAATGTACAGCCAGTACTTGCACCCCTTGGTCGACGCGCACGTGTTGTAGCACGTCTGAGGGGACGCCTTCGCAACCGTCAGCGGGCTACCCTTCACGTACACATATATACCAATCTTGTTCTTGAGCAGGTTCGCAGTCTTCCATTTGGCGGGAATGCCGCCCTTGCTGCAGTTCTGTGGAGTGCACGCGCCGGCGTGCGGCTTCAGTTCCGCGTGGCACTTCATATTGTTCCACCCGGCCGACGTCGCGTCCGCGTCACTCGCTTGCTCCTTCGCCACGCTCACCGGCTTGTTGTTCGCCGCACTGGACGGGTCGCCTGCGCTCGCCGCCAACACCAGCGCCGCCAGGCACAGAGCCAGCACTGCTTGCTTCGCCATGTCGCGCTATGCAACGCTGCCGCAAAACTGAAGCTTGAGAGAAAATGAGTCACACTCGACTAGATGATCCAACACAGATTCGTTCTGAAGAAATTCGAGGATCCTTGTAGCGTTTATATTCGCGGAAAAGGTTCATCAAGCTTGGTTCAAATCGCGAATGCAGAGGAGATCCTGGATTCATGGAGTGCCTGTCAAGTCAGGGGTTTGCCGAGGCGCATCTGGAGAAGTGGGTTTTGGCGTCCGTGGACTGCGCAAACATTTTTGGGAGGTGGAACCTAAACGAAATACACAAGATGCCCAACCCCTGCACGCGAATTTGTTCTGCCCGCGATGGAAACTCTGCACCCGTGTATTAGGGTACCAGGCAGTTGCACCCCATTTATAAGCACCTCGAGCAATACGAACCACAAAAACCGAAGTTTGACAGAAGAGACCCATGTCAAACGGTCAACAGCGAGTTACAAAATCTTTTAAAAGCCCTTTTTGCTAAGTGCGAATTGACGAAAGTTTAGCGAAATGCAAGAATCACTTAAGAGCCCTCTTAGCAAGGCAACCTTGGGTTAGTCAAACGGGCATCGTGTGTAGACGCATCACATCGCACCACATGTTTTTTTCAGGCTCTGCTGTTTCGTGTTGGCGCTTTGAGATTGGGAAACCGAGTTGGAAGGAAATCTCTGCGGCCAATATCATTGACACTCAGATTATGCCAGGAGCGGTTACTCAACCAGAAATTTCACGGTATAGTAACTAAATATACTTGATCTAGTAGTTATAAGCACAATACTGAAACAAAGTCGCCACCAGCACCTCACCCGCAGATACCCAACGAAACAGAAAAAATGAATGTTGAAATCGGTTCTTAACTTAGTAGGCTTAGTAGCCTAGGGTTTAGTTAGAACGAGAGTAGCAAGGGTGAGGTCGAGGGTGTTGACCAAGGGAGAAACAAGAATGTGAGTTCACTATGAGAAGAGTTACAAGTTATAGCAAGCCAAAGGGTGCACCACCTAACAGGACAGCAATAGAACTACACTACAGCTAGAACTACATGCAGTTATACAGAAATATATTCTGACAAAAAATACTAAAACGCTTGGATAACCAGGACAGAGTTTGGGAATATTAACCTTAAATACGGGAAATTGTCAAGTGTTTAGGGCTTATGCCTTCCGTTTGGTGGAATGAAAAGATAACCACCTACGGAAATGCATCCAGACAGGATGGGATCAACCTTAAACACCTTGTCGCGTTGTGTTTAGGATTGACGCCTCCCTTGCATAACATGCCATCCGAGGCAGTTTTAGTTTTTTTTTTTTAGTTTTAGTTCTTTTTAGTTCTTATTGTCGGATGGTGTTTATGGTGGTTTTGCTTTAGTTTTTTTAGTCGACGGAGGCTTGACGGTGCCGTCAGCCCATTCCGTTGAGTTATTCCCAGTTTGCATCCTTTTTCCCAATGGATTTTTTTTATTATATTTATAGAACTTGCGCTTGATACAAATTTTCTTTGTAAATGGTTGAGTATTTCATGATTTTGTATATTATTAGGTAGCTTACCGACACAGTTGTTCATATTTAAGTTCGGCAATCGCGTGTTGTTTCTGTCACATTTCGGAGGTTTTTTTAGCGTAAAAGGTGTGATTGAATAGCAAAAACCAATCAGTGGTGTGAAATCGAGGTTGAGTACCGATGTAAAATGTATATGGGTGTATGATTTTCCAACATTTCAGGCAATAATATGCAGCCAATATCATACGTACTCAGATTAGTCCAGAGCGGGTTCTCAGGTGTCATCAACCTGGCCTTCCTCAACGCCGATTGGTAATTGCTTCCAATCACATTTTTTCACGCCGATCGCACTTATTTGAAATTGACAAGAACAGAGCCATGCAGTTTACCCTTCCCGACTTGGATATGTTAAAAAAAAAGTACGGAAATTTAGGGCGTAACATAATCAAGCCCAAATATTGGGGGGCTTCCCGTTTAGGGTTGATCCGCCGCGACATTCATCCAGGTTCGATACGGGTTTTAGATTTTCTTCAAGTGCCGCAAATCTGGATTGCGACTCGTTCCAATTATATTTACGGACTGTATCAAGTTATGAGACATAATAGCCTAATACTATATCGCAAAACGTTGTTTATGTTGTTGATTACACATGAAAACCCCGCTGGACTAATTGGAGTATGTATGATAATGGCCGAAGAATATGCATGAGGTCGTGTTCAAATTGCAATTTTGACACTTGCCAACATTGTTGGCAGAGTGTCAACGACATCCCTCTCTGCAAAAATCGTAGCGCCATCCAACAATCAAATTGGTCGCAACAAAAATTCATACCAACCACTCCCGCCCAATCAACGAAGGCTGAAACAAGACGATCTTTGTTCAGGCTGAAAATTCAGTAAGTAGGTTTGGCAGGGGTACTACTAGCGACCCTGCGCTTTCCAGAGAACTACAGTGCTAGTTGCGGACACTTTCCGCCCCTCCGTCCCTCCGACAGGAAAATTATGGCAGCAGCACAGAACTCAGTCCCACATTCACCCACGTGTCACAAATTCGGAAAATCTAGAATTCGAGAACCCCTGGCGTGGGCAGTACGTTGAAGAACTACATGATGCAGATCCGCAATGCGCAGTATCGCTGGTTGAAAGATAGACTCGAGCCAGAGGATTTCTTATGAGGGCTTTCGAGCACGGTCACTGGAGAGGCCGAGACGGCGTACGGCATGGAACTGGAGCGCATGATCAGTGAACCCACGCAGGCGGCGGGAGTGACATGAGAGGTGGTGACGCAGTTTTTTCGCGACGCTGCGACGCCATTCCCGGTGCCAACGTCGGAGCAAATGGGTGAGTTTGCATCATTTTGGAAGAAAGCAGAAGAGTCCCTGCTGGCCACTTACGGAAGATTGTGCGAGCTCGCTGCGGACATGGAGTGCCGAGACGAGTGGAGGCTCGTGACGAAGTTCCTCAACAGCCTAGACGAGCGGGTGGCGACTGAAGTTCGGGGAAGGATCTTCGAGATGGGACCAGCGGCGACACTCGACACTTGAACAGGCGTACGAGCTGGCCAAGAAGCATGAACTGGGGCTGTCCACGGAGGAACGCCACAGATCGGCATGGACTGCAGTCTCAGCAGGAGAATACTTGGGCAGGCGAGGAGGACGTGAAACAGAGTCACAGAGGTGCCATCGGTACGGCCAGGAAGGACATCTGCAGCGGGAGTCCGACAAGCCGCCGTGGTGTGATCATTGCCAGAAAGAACGACACCTGCGCCGAGAATGCCCAGAAATCCCCAGTTGCTGAAACTGTGGTAGGAGAGAGCATCGCACGATCGGGATCCGCGAGGCCAAGACTTAAGGAGTTAGAGATCCAGCTGCACCAGTAGTAGGCTAGAATCCGCAAGCTAGAAGGCGGCGCGCGCAAGTAAACGGCAATGTTGGCTAAGGAAGAAGAGAGAGGAGGAAGTGAAGCTGAGTTTGTGCTCATGGTGCGTGCGCCGCGACAGAGGGAGGAGATATGGCTCCGCAGTGATCAGCGAGGTCAACCAGAACATCCCGCCAGAGGCATCAGGAGATTCAGAGGGTACGCGGCAGAACCAGAGCAGGAGATGACCTCGGAAAGGCATCCGAAGGAGAGGATGGTGTGTCAGCCGTCTAGAAAAAGGGGGAATTACTGTGGGAGGAGTGGCGGTGGCCCTGGCCATCATAGAGACAACACCTCATCACATCCTGTTGGGCAAGGGGCTGGCTCAGAGGCTTGAGCTAGACCAACCCAACCGGCTCATAACCTGAGGCATCTTGGTGATGAAGGCTGAGGGCGGGGAGCCGAAGCGGATGCCCAGCACTCGCATGCCAGTGGAGGTCGTCCTGTGCCCCAGAACGAAGGATGAGTGCCGGATTTGGATGCGCTGCGGGATTTCTCCCTTGGAGGACTATGACCTGCTCATCGGCATGGAGCTTCTGTACCGAATCGACGCCACCATCTGCACATGGCAGGAGAAGGTGCTCTACCGTTCATAGTACTGGCGGGATGATGGCCCCGTGGGCACGTTGGTGGTGCACTTCGTCAAGCGGGAGCCGCCGGAGGCCTTCCAGGCCCGGATGGCGGAGGTGGACGAGCAGCTCGAGGACTGGTCGTGGAAGACGTATGTGCTGGAGCGGGAAACGTGAAAGGCTGAGGAGGAAAGGGCGGAACGTCCCTTAGTGCTTCCCCCACGCCTCACAGGCCTGGGAAGGCTGCAGGAGCCCCTGTGGAACTCATCGGAGGAATCGGCACCGGGTTGGCAGCGGCTCTGAAAGCTGGGCGCAGTGTAAAGAAATGGGTGCTGGAAGAGCTGGATCCAGTGGTGCGCCGCATGGCGCTGCACCATGCTAAGAAGCTTAGGGGACTCTACCCAACGCAGATGATGTCAGGGGTGGAAGCCGAGGCAGAGGAGGACATGATACACGACATCAGAGAGGTGGCAACGGAGGATGTGGCACGTTGGGGGAGAGTGGACATCCTTATGGCAAGCTGGGAATGTCAAGGCGTCTCGAGGGCGGGAAAGGGCAAGGGCTTGGAAGATCCCAGGTCTACACTTTCTTGGAGTTGCTGCGGGTGATGAAGCTGGTCTACCAGCAACACAAAGAATATCTGTACATCCTGGAGAATCTCGACTTCTCCACGGACTGCCGGGAGCCGGTGCGACGAATGCAGGAGGTGGTGGTCGCGGCCCTGGGGGCAGGAGTCGCGTGGGATGCGGTGCAGCAGGGATCCTACTCGCACAGGGTGAGGCGCTACTGGTAGAACGGGGTTACGGAAGGGAAGCTCAGATGAGAGCTCATCCAGACGGAGAGACCGGTGCCACGCCCTCTGGAAGACATCCTAGAGCCACACCACCTGCCAGCACCCGTGCTCAAACCGGATCATCCGAGTCAGTTCCAGTGCAACAAGCTAGGACTACACAGGGAGGCATGGCCTACGTTGTTGGCACGTCACGAGGCTCACGTGTTTGACCAGGTGCAGG